AGCTGCAAAGGGGACCAACTCCATATTAATGCCTATGGATTCAGAATGAGATGTCGTAAAAGCTCCTGTTGACGTATTGTGCAGGTGTCCCAATACTTTTGTCCATATAGTGTACATTATATTAGGGGTCCACTAAAAACTCCACAAACATACTCCTTTATCCAGCTATTCATGAAATCATGGATCAGTCATGGAACAGTGGATATATCCCGCTACTGGCTGTGGGAGGCTCTCGGGAGGAGCTGCGATCGCAGTAGGAGAGACTTTCTTGTAAATAAGTTGCTGTTTTTAGTCTGATGTGTGTGTATGTGTTTATTGTGCTTTGTGCTGTTGGGCAGTGGGGTAAGCAACGTGGGTCTGTGTGCTACCATGAACGGAGATTATATGGCTAGAAGTGAGCTCACTGCTGTCTCAGGCATTTCAGCAGCGCTGCCCGTTCAACAAAAGAGATTTAACCTTTAAAAGCAACTCCTAGCATACACAGTCGACACCAAACCACTTTCTACTTCACTGGAGGGAAGCAGCACTGCTGCATGGCCAGATGAAGCTCAACAGGCTGCATTTATTGTAAACTATTGTAAAAATGTGTAAGCAGGACATTTTTGAAGCTGATACAAGACGGAATTGAGTAAAATCTGTAACACAGAGGTCGACAAAGCAGTCATTATCTGGAAATGTATACATTTACAAACATGGATAAACCACCTTCCTATTTCACTTTACAGCAAGATGGAGCTACAGCATTGCTTTCTTTCTGCATGTATTCAGGCTGTCTAGTTAAGTACGCAGGGAGATTTTCTGAGATCCAGAAGCAGCAGGAAGCAGGTCATCCCAACAAACTCGAAGCCTAAACTTTTCACAGGAACAGACAGATTATCTTGGCGAGAAGGGCCTGGGTTCGATTCCCCAGCCGGGCGACCGGGGCTCTTTCTGTGTGGAGTTTGAATGTTCTCTCCGTGTCGGTGTGGTTTTCCTCCAGGTGCTCATGCAGTCAGGTCAATTGGAACTGCTAAATTGGCCCTAGGAGTGAGTTTGGGCGTGAATATGTATGTCTGCCCCATGATGGACCGGCGACCTGTCCAGGGTGTTTCCTGCCTTCCACCCAGTGAACGCTGTGATGGGCCCCAGCTCCTCCCACGACCCAGGAGGATAAGCGGCTTAGAAAGTGTGTGTGTGTGTGTTGTATCCAACATTAAATATGAGAAACTGAATTGAATCCTCAGGGATCATATAAACCCCTAATGTTAATGCTTAATTTCTCTTCTCGCTCTTTCGAAGCTAAAACAAAAGACTGTATTAAAAGATGAAGCTCACAGAATGAATGAACGAATTAATGAATGAATTAGTGAAATGTCAGATATGCATCGGATCTAGAATACATTGGGCATGTAGTCCAGATGGACCGACAGACATGCTTTATTTTTATCGTGCTGAATCTTAGTCATCATTCAAAAGCTGGGTTTTCGGTCTCTTTTCTGTTTCATGTTCTTTCCGCTGTTCTTTGAGCTCTAAAACCAAAATGACATCAATAATGTAGATTCAGTCTTACGGCCGAAAGCTCTGTAAAGCTGATGGTTCCTAAGCAAACACGCTCACCCATGTCCACTATATAAGGACTGTAGAACGTTTACTGATAAATGTGTTTTAGTTGATCATTTGAAAGCACAGGTTTGAAAAGTGAAAGTGGATATGATCACCAGAGCCCCACACTGCCCCAGTGTTGTGCAGTAAACAGTGTCACTGCCGTGTCGACTGAAAAGACGTTGCTAAAGCAGCACGTATGCAGCAGGCCTGTGGAACCTGTTTTACTCAGAATGCTTTGTGTCTGCCGTGCACCGGGTATGAAAAAGATTTATTGGCCAACTCCAGCTTAGGAACAAGCCTATCCTTCCAGGACTAGATCACGTTACCGCCACATGATCTATATTTTTACTTGCAGTCAAACAGATTTAGAGAGAAGTTAGAGGCTAAAAAAGTCCAACTAAATTAACTTTTAGAACTCGATCTTCATTCAGAAACCAATGCTGGAGCTCATTATGTGTGTAATGTTAATATTCAGTCCAAAGGGCAATTCACTGATCAGTGAATCAGCAGGTCATGTTATCTGCTGACCTGTGTACTGATAGAAGGGGGCAGACTGCTGTCATTTTCCATGTTGTAAGTAGGATCTTATCTGATTGCTCTTGACCTGCAACCATTCTGGTGGTTCCTGAGTCACACTGGGCAGCTGAAACCAATCAAACTGCTCTGTTAACCATGTGAGGGTAAGCTGGCAAAAAAGAAAATAATTCGTTTTTTGGTTTTTAATCGTTTTTTTCTTTAGTTGATGTCGCTCAACAAACGTGTGTTATTGAGCCATGCAGTTTCAAGGTCAGCTTGGCGCGATTGTGTTTGGTCAACAAAATTTTGTTGAGTAAAGCTCACGGCTTTTCCATCTGTATGCTGCTCTGATTTGTATGTTTTCAAGGTAGCACATCGACTTGAGGTGTTTGAGCCTTCAACTTTATCGACTAAATTTACTTAGTTACGTAGATCTAACTTAGACATATTACTGTGTTGCTTTCATTTGCTCTATTTACACCCCCAGTCAAATGACACGTTTTGTTGACTTTTTGAGTGTAGTTAACACATCCTCTACTCCTGGCACCCACTATCAAGCCTCGTTCGAACTCTGATAATTCACGTCGCCTTGCCCTGAGCACGCTGGCCAGTGTTCAACCTCACTTACAAGATAACACCTCACAACTTATACAGGTGTGGGTGTCCCATGCTGCCCCCTGAGGTAACACCACTTCATAATCACTTAACATACAGCTGTCCCACGACTTTTGGCACATGTGAAGTGCTACATGCAATAAAGGAAAAATACTAAACAACTTGAAAAGGTTCATTAGTCTGTTGTTTTGTATAGCATTTATACTAGCTATCTAGTGGAATGACTGATCCCGCTGTATTTTTGATAAGCTTTACAGGAAAGTGAAGATTAGTTGACACAGTCAGCCATAAGAGTCAACTCTCCAGTCTCTGAGGTGAGAGTCCGAGTTGAGTCTTGAGTCTCTGAAGTATGAGACTGAGTCGAGTCTCTGAGGTATGAGTCAAGTCTCTGAGGTGAGTGTCTGAGTCGAGTCTCGAGTCTCTGACATGAGAGTCAAAGTCAAGTCTCAAATGTCTACGGTAAATATCCAAGTTGAGTCTCGAGTCTCTGAAGTATGAGTCCGAGTTGAGTCTCTGAGGTGTGGGTCGAGTCTCAAGTCTCTGAAGTATCAGTCGGAGTCGAGTCTCGAGTCTCTGAGGTGAGAGTGAGTCGAGTCTTGAGTCTCTGAGGTGAGAGTCTGAGTCGAGTCTTGAGTCTCTGACATGAGAGTCAAAGTCAAGTCTCAAATCTCTACGGTAAGAATCCAAGTTGAGTCTCGAGTCTCTGAGGTATGAGTCCGAGTCCAGTCTCTAAGGTAGAGTCCAAGTCAAGTCTTGAGTCTCTGAGGTGAGAGTCTGAGTCGAGTCTCGAGTCTCTGAGGTGAAAGTCTGAGTCGAGTCTCAGGGGTAAGAGTCCAAGTCGAATCTCTGAGGTGAGAGTCTGAGTTGAGTCTTGAGTCTCTGACATGAGAGTCAAAGTCAAGTCTCAAATCTCTACGGTAAGAATCCAAGTTGAGTCTCGAGTCTCTGAGGTATGAGTCCGAGTCCAGTCTCTAAGGTAGAGTCCAAGTCAAGTCTTGAGTCTCTGAGGTGAGAGTCTGAGTCGAGTCTCGAGTCTCTGAGGTGAAAATCTGAGTCGAGTCTCAGGGGTAAGAGTCCAAGTCGAATCTCTGAGGTGAGAGTCTGAGTTGAGTCTTGAGTCTCTGACATGAGAGTCAAAGTCAAGTCTCAAATCTCTACGGTAAGAATCCAAGTTGAGTCTCGAGTCTCTGAGGTATGAGTCTGAGTCCAGTCTCTAAGGTAGAGTCCAAGTCAAGTCTTGAGTCTCTGAGGTGAGAGTCTGAGTCGAGTCTCTGAGGTGAAAGTCTGAGTCGAGTCTCAGGGGTAAGAGTCCAAGTCGAATCTCTGAGGTGAGAGTCTGAGTTGAGTCTTGAGTCTCTGAGGTGAGAGTCCGAGTCAAGGAACATGATCTTTAACTTATTACTAAATTAGTTGACATATTCAGCCATAACAGGTAACAGTGTTTAATAGTAGTTAATAGCTCTCAGGTTTTTTGTCCTTCAGACTGAAGGTTTGTCTGCAATATGAGCCAGAGTTACACAGTTATATCGTTAGACATTGTCATTACATAAAATTATATAACAGAATTTTAAGAACAAACCTTTATTTTGTGGCTTTTGTTTGCCCAACCATGCTGTTTTCCAATAGCAAAGTCAGCAAGGGCATCTTAAGACCAGTACGCAGGACAGGGTTTGGAGAGGGAAACCTGCTTCCACATAGTGGTGCCCCTGCAGTTTTCATGACAACAGCAGGTAGCAGGATAACTTATTTATTATTTGTAGTCCACAAATAAACAGATTAATATTAAAAATGGTACTCTGGTTCCTTTTCTGTGTAGGAGCATATCAGTTATCAGTGTGTGTGCGCCCTCTACAGATCAAACAAATATATGTATGTGTGTGTGTATATATATATATATATATATATATATATATATATATATATATATATATATATATATATATATATGCATGTATATATGCATGTATATATCGCTGCTATTGGAACAAAACCTTGCCTGCATTTTTGTACTTGTTCAGATTTGTTCTGTACAATGTGTGTAAACTTCATGAAGAATGGACCAAAAGAAATGACCCAAAATACCTTGGAAAAATGTCTGGTTCCATTGACTTACATTAAGAGTTTTTTTTTTTTCTATCTCCTGTTTTGTTTTCCTCAGACAACAGCAATATATATATATATATATATATATATATATATATATATATGTGTGTGTGTGTATATATATTCTATACACTCACATTTCAGACAAAAACAACTGAAAGAATTTCTAGAACCCACTAAACTTCATTAGATCACTTCAGTTATTTAATAATGGCTGATTCCACAGTAACAGGTGCACAGCAGACGTCTCAAGATGCACTTACATGTCCTTTCGTAGCTACTCTTGCGAGGCTGGACAAGCTTTACGGAGCACTGCTGAAAATCCTATTCAAACTAATGAGAAACTGAAGCACAGACTTTGTTCAAATACCTAAATTTAATGTGTTATTAATTTCAAACTATACTGTGCATGTGTACAGGTCTCAATACTAGGACCAATCAGGTGTAGGTACTCAGGTGTAGGTAATGCTAGCATGGTGGCTAATTCTGTTCTGTTCATTGCTATTAATCTGGCTAATATCAATCAGCTATAACTCAACTTTAGGTAGCAGTCCAATGTGAAATTATGTATTCTGATCAAATCTAATTTCTCATTAGGTTTAAAAGGACTTTTCCCCAACAGTCTGTAAAGCCTGTTCAACCTACACACCAGCAGCTACAAACTAACGTATTTGTGGGCATGAACATCTTAATATGCTGTAATATTTATTTTCAGACCCCTATACTCCCTCATTGCGCCCCCACCACCCTACCACCCAAAGTGCTAGATGCATTTGCAACCACACTGTGATGAGCTATTGCAAACAGCATTTTCTAAAGATCCTTCAGCTGAGGGCCCGGGACAGCCAGGTTGTTGTTGGGACACACCGGGACCACATGCTTCATTCAGAACAGATGAGCCAATCCATCAGCGGTAAACCACTGAGATCTGTTTTCCTCTCAACTCACGCAATCACTGGATGCCTGTACATGATTCATTTCAAAGGAATTCTTGGTTTTCCACCAAGGCAGCAGACAGACATTGTAAGCCAAACACCAAAAGCAACAATGAGTTAAATATTCACACCTTGGTCCCGTCTCAATTTTACCGTTTGTGTAACATTAATAAGCAGAGTTTATGGTCAACGTTCTCCTCCACAGGGCCATGGTGGTATTCGAACGTTCCTCGGAGAGCAGAATGAAAACGACATGGACGTCACTGCAAAAACTGCACACAGAGCCGTTCAGCCATTCCCGGAGATTCTTACAGTATTCTTTTCCTCGGATTTTGTCTTGATCTCCTTTTTCCCAGAATGCTCTTTAACTGCTCTTCACTTCCACAGGTCTTGATTTAAAGGTTAGTTAGAAGTTGGGCTTGTGTTTCTTCACCTCCACCATGAGGTGGTGCAGGTTGATGAGTTCAGAGCGGACAGCCAGGCTGCGGAACGTGGGCTGAGAGAGGACCTTATGGAAACCGTGGTAGTACTGGATTAGCTGGGTCAGCGCCCCCTAGTGGACAAAAGGAAACAAAGACAGAAAAGGTATTTTTTGCTGTGTTTGGAGGTTTTTAAGAAGTGAAAACCAGTATGTCTTTCGCACATCACAGGGATTTTACTGTATCATGTATATACTGTGATAATCCCAAAAATAATGAACCAGAAACAGCCCTCGAAGAACCTAAATAGCCTTAATAACTTATAAAATTAAAAGAAAACTAAAGCGCACATTTGAAACATCTCAACTATTTACGGTGCTGCTACAGATGATGACACTGACTGATAAAATGATTCCTTTTGTTCTTTGGTTGCGTTTATGGAATAAAACGGGCAGTTAAGGTTGAACTACGATCTTGTACAGAGCGCTAAAGCAAGCTAATGTGGAATTAGCTACAGTAAATGATATAGTACTGAAATATTACTTTAAGAATCACCTGCAAAGTGCAAAACAGAACTGAGGATGAATGAGGAGGTAAAGGTTTCGGGACAGAACACTGACGGACAGATTCCAAAAACAGTCACTGTAAACAGTTTGGTAAACACGAATGTTCATGTTCACGAATAGTCAAGCATTGCACCCTGTTGTGTAAGGGGAAAGTGCCCATGCTGACCGCGGTCTACCAAATGCATCTACAATGGGCATGAAAGCATCGGAACTGGACCTTGGAGTGATGGAAAAAGGTCACCTGGTCCACTGAGTCCTTTTTTCTTTTACATCATGTGTACTTTTTTCTTGTATATCATTACCACAGCAGTGCGTGTGCACTGTTTACCTGGTAAGCGATGGATACAGGAGCCGGAAATAAAAAGAAAACCAGATGAGAGTTAACCTTTTTAACTCCTTGGGACCACCGGTGGTTCTAAAACGTACTTCGTCACATTCTTCATAACTTTCATATTTCATAAGCTACATTCAAAAGGTGGGGGTCGTATGAGAGCTGTAACTGTCTTCTCTCCAGTCAAATAGATGGGTGATGTAATTTTAAACCCTTATAATAAAAGAAGCTGAACTTTTTTGCTTGAACATTTTTCCACAAATCTGAGCTATAAACTATAAACAGATGGCGTCTCTTCAGTTATCTGATCTGTAAAAATGACTTTTATAAAGTAATGCAAAGAGCGTCTAAGATTTTTGGCTTTCAGCAGTAAATTGTAAGCATATAGCAATATGTGTGATCATAAAACACACTTTCTGTTAATTTGAGGGGAGCTTTTACAAAAAATAAATAAATAAAATAAAAATAAATAAATAAATAAATAAAATAAAAAAAAGTTACTGAATAATTTGCCTTAAGATTTGGTCATGTAATTCAGATTGACAAACCAAAATATACCCTGGAGAACAGAGTTTTCATTATGAATTTAGAGTACCTGTATGATGCTAGTGCCGTTTTTAAAGTTGGTGAAAGAGCGCATGACATCCTGACTCAGAGCCTCCACTGACTGCTTCCAGGTGCTGGAGAATCCCCTCACCAGCTGAGTGATCCGGACTGAGAGAGTCATAAAGACAGAGAGAAACATTTAAAACTTTTTTTAAATTACCTAATAATACCTACATGGAGAAGACAGAGAGAAACATGTATATATTAAAAAATAAATAAATAAATCCTTTACACTTTTTATATTACCTAATAATACCTAACAGACAGACGTCACACAAAACTCCCCTGCAAACCAATATTTACATCAAACATAATCCAAGATAATCAGTAGAAAACCCCCCTCCATCCAAAACATCAATATTTACTGATGTCTGAGGTGGTGGTTGCTGGTAAAGTCCAGTTCACTACTGGGCCTGCACCATTACGTGTTACTGTTCAATGTGCTTCTATCCATTTATATAAATAACAGCTAAAATGGCACTAGATGAGTTTTCGATGAACAAAAACTGAAACTGAAAAACCAAACAAACCTCAGACCTACCAAAGCGGAATTTCACCAAAGTTTCTGCATCATTCAGTGGTTAAGGTGTGGTTAAGTCATTGGGTTTGTCAGAGTGGTTTGGTGTGAAATGGTTCAGATGTCTTTACAGTGGTGGTGATAGGAACCAAGGGTCGCCATGACTACAACACACATATAGACATTTTATTTACTATCCAGAACCTCCAGTGAACCTACACGAGTCTTCTGAGGTTATATAGAAGGTTGGAGATGGTGAAATAGTGATAAATCTGAAAAAATAAGTTTTCTTCAGGGACTATTTTGCCTCACAGCGCCCTGCATGAAACTGTGAATGTGTTTTAACACACTGAAAATATGTTTAAGACGAAAACTCTCTCAAAACTATCATAAAACAGTGTCTCAGGTCATCAGGCAGTGAATTCATAACCATTTCATGTAGTAACTTTCTGTGAGGGAGCTTTTAGAGGTGGACGTCTGGTTCCTATCACCACCACTGTGAACAGCTCTGACTCGGTAAGTTCCTCAGAGTGTTTCACACCAAACCACTCTGAACGCCTCTGTTTACATGTCAACCATTTAATTATGCAGGGATTTTTAAAAATCTATAAAATCCTCCTTCTAGAGAGGAGCAGTAGAAACGTCTCCAGCTTGACCGTCTTACCCTCATCGTTCTTAAGTTTGTCCAGCTGACCCTTCTCCATCAGAGCCTCGCTCTCCTTCACAAATGTGATCATCCCTCCAAACGGGGGCGCCAGGATTTCCTCAATGAACTCCTGATACACACATACACAAAACACAAACACCACAAATTACATGTTAACAGAGAACACATTTAAAATAAGGCATTTTTCTGCTAATTGTAGTGCAGTATTTCTATTTATTTGCTGAATGTAACATATTGGAAAAAATATAACATAAAATATGCCTCATAAAGGCCACATTTTATGTGTTATTTTTCTCCAATATGGTAAATTCAGTATTAAGCAGTTATTGTGTATTAAAATCACATCACTGTCTGGTACAGCAGCTGCACCGACTGCGACCGCAAGGCCCTTAAAGGAGTGGTGAGGACGGCAGAAGCCATCATAGGCAACAAACTACCAGCCTTACAGGACATCTACCAATCCCGCTGCCTCAGGAAGATCAAAAAGATCCGGTCATACAGCGTCACCCAGCACACAGCCTGTTCACCATCCTTAGCATACAGGCTAAAACAACCCAGTTAATGAACAGTTTCTACCCACAGGCTGTCAGGCTTCTGAACAAGCTGTGAAGCTGTGGGTCCGTCCCTAATTACCTTTTCACTCAGTCACTTTGTCAGTATTATTATTATTATATCATATCTCTGCTATGGACAATAACACTAACACTAAGCCACTTTAAAGAACAATAACACTGAGTTACTTTAAAATGTATAAGTGTATATAGTCTCTATATCTTCTCTATATTTAGTGTATATTTAATATAGTTCAGTTTGTTTTTCAAGTTTTATTTCCTTTCTGTAGAGTGATTCTCTGAGCCGCACCACAAGCATTTCAATGCATGAATGTCCTGACATGTTGTACAAATGACAAATAAACTTAAAACTTGAAATGTGCAGAAGTGTGTTCTTTGAATAGGATGTGTTGACTTATTTACGCTTAGATCACCAACACGTCATGTGACCTTTGCACGCAGGGCCAGATGTTTCAGGTTAACTTCAGGTGTTTTTTGAATTCTTGTTTTTTGAATTCTAGGGGAAAACTACTATCATGAAAACTCTCAGGTGAAGTCACGACATAGGTGGCTGAAAACCGAAACCAAAAAATTACATATACATACATACATATATATATATATATATATATATTTTTTTTTTTTTCATGCTATTAAATCAACACCGTCCATTTAAAAAAATTACAAAGTAATGAATGGAATCCACTTGTTGTTGATAAAATCTGTAAAACTAAGCTGACAATAAATAAAAATGTTTGCATAAAATAAACTCACAAAATTATTACAGTATGTGCCACAAAATCCAACGTCCTCAATTACAGCGAACAGCTGGTCATCTAAAACAATGAGTTCTGTTATTTTTAATTATTCTTTGCAGTTTGTGAGTTTTCAATTTATAAAGTGAGTGTACAGTTGACGTTGGTCTCCTGGCACCAGGAACGCCTTGTTTTGCTGTATTCTGGGCATCTATTTGTGGCTATCAAACCTGTAGAGTAGAAGTTCTTGGGTGGAGACGTTCCTATCATGATATTTGGCCTGAACAGTGATATAACAGTGATATTGAACAGTTAAATACTCAGCACGGCTGATAATTTCACTGTTGATCTGCTGCTGATCAAACTGTTCGAACATGTCTGTGCTGAATGGTGCACGAGAGCAAAGAAAAGAAACTTACTTTATTACTATTGAAATTATGTATTGTCATATTCTGACGATTGTTGTAGACTTATTTAGTCTTCATTCAGCCGAAAAACAAAAGCGAAGCTTTTGCAGAAATGTTCTGGCAGCTGAAACTTTGGTGCTTCTCTAATATAAACCATATGACTTCATTTCCCATAATTCCTGCTTGAATGTCTACCTGTGTTCTGGCCCGAAGGAGCTGCTGAAATCCTTCCACCTCTTTACTGTCATCAGCTGCTCTCTCCTACAACACAGAACATTACAAATCATTCTCATTCATACATACAACACATTTCAGACTTTTAACTGACTTGGACTTCGGGCTAAAATCCTTTTGCTTTGAGTGACCCTACAGCTTAATTATGTTTATTTTATTAAAACTAAAGACTGAATATTCCATTTTGTCACTACCAAAACAATCATAACACTACAGAAACTTTACCAAATGTGTCAGCAGTGACTGTTTCGGTAGTGACCATTTCAGCAGTCTCACCCCCTGTTCTAAAATGTAGGCGTGACTAAAATATAGGTTGTTGTTATAGTGCTCTATTCCGCCTCTACGCTGTAGACTGGGGTTCAAAAAGAAAATATATATATATATATATATATATATATATATATATATATATATATATATATATATATATATATATATATATGTGTGTGTGTGTGTGTGTGTGTGTGTGTGTGTGTGTCTCCATTTTTGTCAGTTTTTGACATTATTTGAAAAAGCCTGTTGTTCTTTACGCTGTTTGTGTATTTCATGCCAAATGGTCCAAAAGAAATGACCAAAAAACATGCAAAAAATTCTGGTTCCATTGACTTACATTAAAAGTAAAGTACGTTTTTTCCTTCTCCTGTAAAGTCACCATTTTGGAGATACGAGGTTTTGTTCCGACAGCAGCGAGATATATATACACACACAGCCTCACTCATGTGTACTTATTTTCACTGAATCACTGAAACATGTAATCTGAACAGGGGAAACAACTGTATGTGTGTAATATATATTCAGATTTGCTCAATTTGGACAACGATCATCTCACCATCAGCACACCCAGCATCATGTCGTAGTTGTTGATGAGGAAGATGAGCTGGTCTTTTCTAGAGGGAAACTCAGCAGCCATCTTCAGCACAAAGTTCTCTACCTCAATCTGAAACCCACACAGACATACAAATACACAGTCAGAGGCACCATTTCACCTGGGTCCAGCCAGGAACGTCAACGGTGCCGCCATTTTGGTGTGGTCAACATCGCTGCTGGACTGCATTTAGTACAATTACAGAGCAGCAGTTCAAGAAAGATACTGTCCAACATTACACTATTTCTTTACTTTCTGGAATGTGTTACTGGCATCAAACTCAAAATTGGCAAATATTTTTCAAAAAACAAAAGAATTTCTCAGTTTCATTTGATGTGTTGTCTTTGTACTATTTTCAATAAATATAGGGTTTAAATGATATGCACATTGTTGCATTTTGTTTTGATTTAAATTTTGCCCAGCCTCAAACCTTTTTGGAAATGGGGCTGTAACTTTTGACAGGAGAAATATATTGTTTTATTTGTCGTTTGTATCAGCAGGAAAGTTCATTAAAAAGAGTGAATTTTTAAATAAGGTGTTCCTCTTTTCTGTCTTCGTTAGTTAGCAAATGCGTAAAACAACTTCAGGCTAAATTTAAATGCTGACAGCTACACAAGAGTTTTTTGGCAATTAAGCGATTCATCTGAATTCATCTGATTCATCTCAATTACTTGTTTACATAATCAGTAGATTATTCGACTATAAAAGTAGTTGTGTCTTGCAACCCTACGGTAAGTAAGTTACCATATGTAGTACCGTGATTCATTACCAAGTGTAGCGATCAGTTGCTGAGTCTGGAACACTGATTAGGTACTGAGTGTAATATACAGATTAGTTATTGAGGTGCAGGTGTAAGTCAGGTTACCTGTAGTTGTCCCAGCAGTGCGTTGGTTCTCTCGTTGGGGAAGGTTTGGTTTATACTGACTATAGCAGAGGAGAATTCAGCGTAACGCCGTGTGATCTACAGAGACAAAACACAGATAATAATTCATTACAGCCACTTAAACTTTCAATACTGGTTTGGGTGAGTTTGTGTCTGAGAGTCTGAGGCTTGTATGGCTTTACATGACATTGTTTGGAATGCAGCGCTCCTAAACCCTCCTTTTTATTGCTTTCTTATGAAATATATGTATTCCACAAGGTTTTTTTTATTTATTTTATGGCTTATAAGAAATTGACTTGTGCCAGTTATCCCTTCAACAAGCACTCTTGCCTTTTTTTTGGAGGGGGGGCATTTTTGAAATTACCAAGAAAGAAAGAAATAAAGAAATAAATAAAGAATATTAAAGTTAAGCTAGCATTCTTTTCTAATTCTGTGTTGAAAATGTTAACATATCATAATGCAAAAAAAGGTCAACACGTATCTTACTGTGAAATTTGCGCACCATTGCACCCCTAAGACATGTGCAAAAGTTTGGGCACCCCTGGTTAACACATCCTCTTCAGAGAACAAACTGTTTTATTTGCTGAATGTAACATAAATGTGGCCTGCGTTAGGTCACATTTTATATTTTAATGTTTTACTATTTTTCGCTATGTTAAACTCAGCTAATAATTTTTGCTTGTGGATAAGTGAGGATGTGTTAACTGGAACTGGAGTGCAGAAAAATATCCCTGAGGATTTCTTTGAAAAAACTGGAAGTGAATCTCTGTAAAGAATGGAAGCTGTAATAAAGGTAAACAGTGGACACAGTAAATACTGGAAAAATACTGATACTATACTTGGTTGTTGAGCTTGAACCTAATGGCACTTTTTAAGGACATCAAGTAAATGAAGGGTGGTCTTTGATTGTTGTGCAGCATTGGACATTTTTCATTGTTCAAAAACTGAAATTAAAAAAATCATTTCAACAGGTTTGTGTGTATATACATACGTAATGTGGTCTGGTGTCCAGCACTCCCAGTTTCTGAGGGTCAGTGTTGCGGATGCTCTGGATGTTCATCTCCAGGATGAGCTCAAACCTCGGCCACAGCATCTCCAGCACGGCCTCCCAATACCTACAAACACAGAGATCTACATATCAGAGCCATTGGAAAAAATGTGGACTCTGAAATTCTAAGAACCCTTTTTGGGGCTATATAGTTTTGAAAAGGTTGTGGATAGAACCATATACAACACATTCTCCACCAATCACCATGCAAATACTACATAAGGAACATACTGTTATTACATGTAAGTGCTTATGGAACATATTTTGTGTGTGTGTGTGTGTGTATATATGTATACATAATGCAAATGGGATAAACTATTACATATGCACACACACACACACACTAGTATATATATATATATATATATATATATATATATATATATATATATATATATATATATATATTGCATACTAGCCATATTAACATTACACATACATTACACATGTAATGTAAATAGGCATATAGGTGTTCATGTATGACTACACATTGTGTGTGTCTGTGTGTCTGTGTGAGAATGTTACACACTTGTCGAGAGCGGGGATGTTCCTCTTGGCTGTGATGGCTTTGAAGCGAAGGATGATGTGGATACAGAGAAAAATAGCGATACTGTCATAGCAGTCAGACACATAGGTCGACATGTTCTTCTGCAGAGAGAGAGAGAGAGAGAGAGAGAGAGAGAGAGAGAGAGAGAGAGAGACACATCACATACAGTACCAACTATTATGCTGTTCATAAAACAAACACAGTAATCTTATAAAACTATAAAACTTCAGTTCATCAGTTGCATGAAACACGAAAGTCTTTGAAGCTACATTTATTTTTGGTTAACCTGTGCCACCTGCTGGTCAGTTTATACACAGAACAAAATAGAACTGGCAACTTTTACACTCACTGGCCACTTTATTAGAAACACCTCCTTTGTACTTCCACTAACTGGCCACTTTATTAGAAACACCTCCTTTGTACTTCCACTCACTGGCCACTTTCTTAGAAACACCTACCCTCTACTCCATTCATCACTGCTCAATTTCGCAGGGCAGCTGTTGTTCAGATATGGTACAGTTATAAACCTGAACTCAGATCTATTAATACCATTAATTAATACTACAAGAGAGGGGTTTCTAATAAAGTGAGTCAGGGAGGTTAAACTCTTTGTGTACAGCTGTGTTTAAAATCGCAGGAAACACAGTGTAAATTATTAAAAACATTTGAATGATACTAAAATTTAGTGTTGTACTTCAAAAAAAACAGCAAAATGTTTTGGAAACAAAATAGATAGAAATATAATAAAACAAGGCTTAAAAAACACGGATCAGGTCTGAGGGCTGTGTGGGCGTGGCCTAATATTCTGATAAGCACTCTCAGACTGCTCCAGCACTGAAGCAGAACTAAACACCAGAGCGAGTGAAGCAGAGAAATGAGTGAAACTGCCTCTACATACAGGTGGTGGTGTAGACCTCGCCCCTGCACTGTATAGTTTAGTGTTTCTCTGCTGTTCACACCTCGTTCAGCTCAAGAAGGGATTAATTAGCTAATAATATCAGGTATTTTAACCAGGAAACCACAGTTATGCAGTGCAGGGGTTTCAGGACTGGAGCTGAACTCTGAACTAACTACACTAGCAAACTTACAGAATCACGTCTGTCGAAACACGACGTCGTTTTCTGACCCACAACATTCAGTCTGATATTTAACGCTTATGTTTCTCCATTCAAACGTCATTTAAATCAGAAATAGAGAGTAAAGTTATACCAGCTGTCTGCAGCTCCGTTAGGGGGACGACTGTTCATCTCTCGGCTGTTAACATTAGATAAAGTGATCTAAAGGCCAGCATTGATCACATCTGAGTTTTTTCTCCTCTTTATGCAACACCATGGGATTCTTTACCAACCCTGACGAGGCCAGTGAGCTTCTGTCTCCAGAGAAGGGAGAGGGGTTGTGTATGAGATAAATATATCAGGAAAACACTAATTTGGTATCTTTCTGCCAGTTTAAGTGGGATCAGGAGTTCAGGGGGAAACTGTATAATATATATATCCTCTGTCAAGGAACGTTTTTCTCTTCCAAAGTAAGGAGAGTAATTTTAGCCATCTTTCACCTCTAGTTACGTCGTGTGGAGCAGCGAAGCCAGAAATACGGTCCCAAGTATGGCGGCCATAACAGAAAAATCACGTGACTGAAACCCTAGGATAGGTGCTAGGTTAGCTTTCGCTTGGTGGTTAGCTTTTTCATGGCAAGTTTCTCTGACTTGAACACAGAACCGGAGACGGGGAACGCAGCTTTGTTGTTTGGCAGGACAACCCACACAGGCCCTGTGACCAGTGAGGATATTACTTACATACATGTGTTACGTACACCTGTCATGTTTACATCAAGAGAGGAGAACGTTAGCGAAACACATCGGTCATTTAGTGAACATTGTAAAGTCATTCACAGCACATAGTTTGTAGATGTACATTGTGAGCCCACATGTGCAGGATTAACCTATTCAGGAAGAAACACTGAGGTTCTCTAAAGCTTTAAATGAACATTACTGTGAATTAAATGTGAAGTGAAATGTGTCGATTGGGGTGAGTTACCGTACCAAGAACATGCTGAGCGTTTTGCCCATCACACTGTTGAACAGATCCAGTGCTGAATTCCCGGCCACCATGAAGAAGTCAGACAGGAAGAGGTATTCACGGCAACCGTTATCCAACAGAGCGTAATGCTGACTTCGGAAGAGAGTCTCATAGGGATACTGAGAGTGAGAGAGAGAGAGAGAGAGAGAGAGAGAGAGATAGACAACCATGAACAAACCATTTTCAAAAAAAAACAAAAAAAAACTCCCCATAACTGCACGCAGAATCCACATGGAAAGACTATGCTATGATTCTTACTAGTTAACTGCATAACTTTCCTTGTAAGCTGTTTTTTTATGTGTCCAATACATTAAAATCTATGAACTGCGAGTGCTGACGTGTAGGGTGGGTGAAATAATATCATGTGGGTATGTTTTTAATGCAACAGATTTTTGCCATATGGCGATATTGCGACGTTACCACGTGTGATTTGTGCTCATAGCGAGTAAGATTTAAAGCTCTAGCCATGGTGTGGAGTGCAGTGCGCTGAAGCTGTAAAGTATCTATGAAGCTGTGATCTTCGCTACTCACCCTGCAGTCTCCTCTCTGAGCAGCGTGTGGGATGAGGATGGGTCCCTCCAGCTCGGCCGGGCTCAGCACCGCCCCCCGCTGGCCCAGAGTGAAAATAGTGTTCCTGCTCTTCAGAGAGGGCTTAGAGAAGAAACCTGCTCTGAGGTTAAGGATCAGTAAGACTGTTCACACTGCAGGAAAAATCACATTTCTCTTACTGACTTTTTAGACCGACTGTTCAATTTTCAGAGACCAAAATGGGATTCGCATGGTCAGACTGCAGTCGCATTTGTTTGCATATCCACAATGGTTTCCTTAGTGATGATGCATAAGCTGACTAGGTTGGTTCAAAACCTAGCAAATCTAACAAGGATCGCTAGCTCATAGAACGATCTGGTTTATTAACCACAGCATGAACAGAGCAGGAAATTAGTGCAGGTCGACCTGGTGAACAGCCTGCTAACAAGGCCATAGCAGTGATATTCAGGCTTTCAGATCAGATTCTGCAATGAAGCAGCCACTATAAACTACAACATACAGAGTAAAACCAGTGTTACCTGATAGTCTGTTAAACGCTTATAGTCTCTGTATTTAAGCTGTTGTCGGAGGAAAACCTCGTATCTCCAAAATGGTAACTTTACAGAAGATGGAAAAAACATACATTACTTTTAATGGAAGTCAATGGAACCAGACTTTTTTCCAAGTAATTTTGGGCCGTTTCTTTTGGTCCAATCATCATGAAATTAACACACAATGTAAAGAACAGCAGGCATTTTCAAATCATGTCAAAAACTGAAAAACACCAAAAATGGAAATATGAGGTTTTCTTCCGACAACAGTGAAATACATATGTGTAATATATGTATGTACATATGTATGTATGTTTTCAATGTGCATTAACATGTGTTTTGGTGCCTGAATCGTATCTGGATAAACTCTGGCTGGATTCCATTTACACTTTGGAATGCGTCCCCGTGTGACCAGACGAGATCTGATTGTACTTTTCCTGCTTAGAAACTCTATTTAAATCAGACATAAAAAGACTTACACACTGGTCTGAATTAGTTGGGGAAAAGTCTGATTTTATGTGGCTTTTAGCTGTTTTAGACTCCAGAAAACCTGTCCTACTCAAATCAGACATGCCGAAAAACCAGATTTGAGCTGCCTGTCTGAACAAGACCCACGAGTTCTAAAGCAGTTCAGTATTTTAAATAACAAGTTTGTTATTCTAGTCTAGTACGCAGCTAATTAACTGTTTAAAGCCTACACAAAACAGCTACTTCTGCTCTTCTCTTTTAAACACCGTTTTTTACTGCTGTTGTCAAATTTATAGTCATATGCAAATGTTTGGGCGCCTCTAGTCATACGACATGTATGTTATGTTGATCGTCTGTACTTAAAGAACACTGAACATCTGCACATGTCATTATAAAGGGAGCATAATTAGTCCTGTTTAACTGGGTTTAGTGGAGCTCAGTATGTGAAGTGTTCAATAAAAATCATTATATTTATAGTTTCAATAGCAGATTTTAAATGTGGCCCACTAGGGCAAAGATTTTACAAGGATTTTTTACAGTGTAAGAAGATGTTTTACTGTGTACTCCACCCAGTCATGTTCAGAAAAGTCTCTCACTGTAAATAATACACAGAAGCAGTAAAGGATATCTTTCTTGGCTGTGTCTTCAACTCCCATCAGATCATCTTTGTCGGCTACATCTTCATACTGAAAAAGACACATTTACACATTAACAAAGAGTCCTATGCAAAAGTTTGTTCACCCCTGGTCAAATTCCATGTTGTTGAAGTGTAATTAAGTGATCACGTCCTCTACAGAGACACGTTTCTGCAGATTTTAATACACAATTACTGCTTATTTACTGAGTTTAACATGTTGGGGAAAAATAAATCATAAAATGTCTGTGCAAAAGTTTTATATTTATATTTCAGCACTTACATTTGCAGACAAATTACCATAATTACATGTTCTCTGTGGAGGATGTGCTTATTTTCACTTGTAATTTGACCAGGGGTGCCTAAACTTTGGCATATGACGTATCTCAAAGAATTTATACACTGTGTTTAAAAAGCTAAGGCACAAAAAGCTTTGTATGAACAAATGTATGAGCTTTTCCACTAGTGGCTTGCCTCGACTCAACTTTTTTAGTTTTCCATTAGGCAAAAGTTGGTACATTTTTGGTATCATCTCCATTGAGGCTCCAAGCGCGCCGAGCCGATACCAAAAGGTGACATAAAAACGCTACCAACTGCTGATTGGTCGGAGAGAATCGCTAAACAGATATGCTAACGTTAGCTATGAGATTAGCGTAGCCTCTTGCGTCGCCCTTTTCAGCAACCGGAATCGTCTCATCATCTGAACTCTGATGTAGTTTTTCCCAAACTTTCCTTTTTTGTCAGCAGTTTTTTGGCTTGCTGCCATCAGACACGTCTGGACAAAATATGCCACAACTTGATAGTTTCATTTGGCATCACTATGGCGACCAGCTACACTGATGCTCTTTAACTGCAGTGGAAAATGAAGTAGCTGGTACCAAAAGCGAGTCAAGTCAAGTTAAGCCGCACCGCACAGTGTAAAAGCGGCTTTAGACAGCAGTGCGATGTTATTTTAGAACAGCTATTACATTAACATTGTGGGAATATTCTATGTTTTACATATGCTGGACATAAATGGCTCATTTTTCTTTCATTTTTATAAATAAGCAAATAATAAACACAAATATTAAGTCCCCTCACTGCCCTCAAAGTCTCTCACCTGCACTTTGAGCAGTCGGCTGCTGTAGGACTTGAAGTAGCTGTAGTAGATCTTACTCATGGTGTCCACGTACTCGTCCCTGATTTCTTTAGCTACCGTCCTTTCATTGGCCAACAGGAACTGGTAGAAGAACCTGTAGGTGACAGAGGAATAACATTGAGCAATTTTGTGCAGGTACAGTTTTCGTTCATTAAGGTACAAACAGTGTAAATGTTCCCTCAAAGGTTCAACAGTGGTTTTGAGGTCTGACTGTGAACCTTAAATAAGTTTTTCCAGGTGAGAAGTTTGTATTTGTACCTTTTCATAACCGAATGTTTTAAAACAGAACAGTAAAATAAAAGCCTGGAGACGAGACGGGGTGTGTGGAGTCAGTACAGCTTAGAACATATCATTTCAGTGGATTATGGTTCAGTTATGTTCCCTGACTAAAGGTACTGAGATGTACCCTTGAGGGTTCCACCCCAGTGAGAAGACAGTGACAGTTTCAGACCTTTATTTCTGAGAGTGAATGACAGATATGCACAATTGTTCTATGCAGCATTGTGGAAAATCCTTTAGAAGAACGTTTGCTGGAGGTTATTATTATTAATTCACTGCAGGCTGAGGAGATTAACAGAGCGATGGGAGGCTGATGTGTGTATTGATACCTGTACTTGAGGAGTGTGTTCTGGGGGATTTGGTAGTTGGTCATGGGCTTCCTGAAGGAATAGATCTTCTGCAGGATAAACTCACGGATCTTACTGACCGCCTGCGGATCACACGTACAGCAAAGACACATTGACTCATCTATGATGACGCAAGTACAAATTAATACCACCATCATGGATGCTGGATGATATAATCGCTGTGATGTGATACATCTGGTGATACTTTATTTTAATAGCACACGGCAGGAGTCATTAAAGATATTCATCTTATATTAAGGGACACTAAACTAAATAAACTAAGTATTTAGTTAATTTATACTTCATTTCTTTACACTTTTTAGAAGCGTATTTTAAGGACTCATTTCATGTAAAACTGAATTTCCCACTTTGAAATAAGACATACTGTTCACTTCAGTCCATACAGTCCTTATATGGAAACTAAGCTGTAAAAACAGTCTGTTCTGCATTCATTATTTGTGTGATGTTACAAAAACAACAGGTCAATCACATTTACATATATCCACCTCTTCAGTCTACAGCAGTTTAGCTCCGCCCACTTATAACTGAAGTTATAAGGAGCGTTTAAGCCTGGGCTGCTTTTGAATGAAGCACAGCCAATCAGAACAAAGCTCATTTACATACATCTTAAAGGCACAGTAACAGAAACAGCCTATTTAATTGTAAGGGATAAAGAAAGGTTTGAAAATGTCCATGTACAAATGAATTATGACTGACTTTGGTAAATAAATCCACACAAACATTACTTAGTGGACCTCAGGGAAAATGTACGGGCCCCTAAATTTATGAAACTGAAATAATATCTGTTAATATTTGAGTCTGAATTCTGATCACCTTTATTTTGAGGCGATCCACGATGTCCTGGATGTCTGAGCAGGCCAAAGTCTCTCTGAAGCTCAGCTCTTTAGCGAAGTTGATCTTATTATTGAGCTCATGCAGCTGCTCCAGAAACTCCTGCTCCGTCACCGGACTGTCCAGAATTACCCTACATACAGACAGAGGGATAAACAGACAGAGAGATAAAGAGTCAGTCAATCACACTAAAGCACTAACACATGAAGTTCCAGACTTCAGCCACTAGAGGCCACTGTACTGCAAATCTTCTCTGAACATGACTTTTCCAGTAATGAGGCTTATACTGCGTTATAAACATTATAAAGGAGGAGACGGTCTCTGGTTGATATATGAATGGGAAAGTCTGAGATAGGTGCTGGGGGCACTGAGTGGGCAGACTTTCCTATAATGACTTTGGCTTTGTTCAACTTGGCTCTGAGAGTCGGAGCTCAGTGTTGTGTTGTGTTTGACCTCCTCTCACTCGAGCTACAAGGTGGGAGCAACTGCTCCATGAAAGCGAGTACTGTTAACAACAAGCTAGCCAGCTAACGTTGGCAATATGAGTGATAATTTTAATGTGCATGATGTATTTACCTTCTCAAAACAGTGAACTTTATGCTCAGTGCTGTAGATTTTACCCACTACGCTGGCTGATTTTAAACAACTCTCATTTAAAAGTAGAGCAGTGGGGCTTTATTACTGTTGGGGGGAGCAGCCGTGTTGATTTGACATCATACGTTGAGCTCAGACTTGAGGAGCACCATGCCAATGATGGAATTCCCATTGAGGGGCATTTTCTTCAATTCTGTCTATTTAAAGGCTGAGTTAAGAGCTTCAGTCGAACGCAGCATTAAACACCAGCAGTTAACACTGTGTTTTAGCTAAAACAGTAGCAGCACCCATCTCAAATACTGAATTCGGTCTGAACTTTTGTAAATGTTTGTGCTTTTGTAGATGTGATAACAGTGGGCTCTTTTCCACTGTACAGCCAATTGGCCCCCACGGCTCTACTGTCCCTTCCTGCGCTGGAGGGGACTCAAGAAAACGGTTACGTTTCTGTTGCTTTCTGCTGTGCTGGTAAATATAAATAGAAATACTGAAGAAAAATCCACACAGGAAAGCGGTTCAGTGATAGCTAACAGGCTAACAGGCTAATAACTATAAACACCACAGAACATGTTCCAGTACAGCCGTCATTCAAGCACCAGTTACTCGACTGTGTGCTCTCAGACTGAAGTCTTTATCCTCTAAACTGGTGTTACTAAAGCCTCGGTTAGCTGGAACCGAGCCTGTACTGTGGTGGATGGCATCTGTAGCCTGCTAACTATACTAGTCTTAGCTTAGCCCAGCAGCTCAAAAACACTACAGATCAGGTTCGGTTTCAGCTTTCCGTCTCTCCAACACCCTGTAACCCACTCTGCACTCTCAGACATTAGCCTTTATCATCCACACTCACTTCAGCAGAGCAGCAGTCAGTCAGGATCAAACCTGTACTGTGGTGGTTGCACTGTTTAGATCTGTAGCCAACTAGCTAACTGCTGCTAACTAGCTAGAATCAAACCTATTAGCATGCTAAGCTAATGCTACCCGGCTCATCTCTCTCAGTTAGCAGCTCAGGTTTAGATTTAGACTGATAGTTTGACATTTATTGAATGCACCGTTGAGGCGAAGCAATACAGACATAAACGCAGAACCAATTAGCGTTTGGTTACGTCATTCTGTCATTCCACTGAATGGTTCTGTGACCCTGAGCACAGGTAGCTAACTGTGCTGAGCAGGGTTTGTAAGTGTTCTGTGTGTTGACTGCACTCGAGGTGCGTAAATGTGAACTATTTCTTTCTCTTTTAAAAGACAGATCTTACGAGATCATGGTGCTGGGCACCACCAGCTCGTCCACCAGCTGACTGAGCTGGCTGCGCACGGCCTGTCTGTTCTTCAGCCGGACGCTCATACTGACGGACTGCTGCTGCAGAGTCTGGATCTCGCTGCTGATGGAGGACAGGTCACTCTGGAAACTGCTCAGCATCTCCTCCATACGCTACACGAATAACAGCAGAGAGAGAGAAACATTCAGCGCTGATGAAACATCATTTACTGCTCAGTTCAAAATTTGAGTGATAAATGATTATTAGACTTGATGAAATCAGAATCCGAGTCAGAATCAAGCTTTATTGGCCAGGTTCGCTTACACATACAAGGAATTTGGTTTTGGTTACAGGAGCTCACAGTGCACAGTACCAGACAGACATTTACATGTAGTGGGGTAATAAGGCAGGTAAGTGAGGTAAGAGTCAGATAAGTGGAGTAATAAGGCAGGTAAGTGAGGTAACAGTCATTATGTGATTAAAACAGTTCATTTGATCGAATATGAATCATGTTTTTTTTTTAGCTTTAAAGCACAGAAGAGTCAGAAGTTCAGGTTAGGAATGTTTTGATGAAGTCTCTGGTTCTGAACTGTGTGAACTCACCTCCAGTATCGAATCACAGGCGGTGATCTGGTTGTGCAGTGATGCGATGTTCTGGCTCTCTTTGATATCTGTGCAGGTTTTGGTCAAGGACTTTGGAAAATCACTGTATCACATTTACAGTTTCACTATCAATTTTTTTTTACTGTATTATAGTTTCACTAGATCATAGTTTCACTGTATCGTATAATCACTGTATCACAATATCACTGTATCATATTTCCACTGAATCAAAATTTCACTGTATCATATTTTAATTATCACAATTGTACTGTATCATATCACTGTATCACTGTCATTTTTTTACTGTATCACAAATACACTATCATATTTTCACTGTATCATAGTTTGTTTCACTGTATCATTATCACTGTATCACGGTATCATATACTTATGGTATCAATTTTACTGTATCTTAGTTTCACTGAATCATATCACTGTATCACTGTTTTTTTTTTTTACTGTATCACAATTTTACCATATTTTCACTGTATCGTACTGTCACTGCATTACAATTTTACTGTATCATATCTTCACTATATCACAATTTTACCGTATTATAGCTAGTTTCACTGTATCATATCACTGTAGGACTGTCATTTTCACTGCATCACAATTTTACTATATCATATTTTCACTGTATCATGTTATCACTGTCATATATTCAGTGTATCACAATTTTACTGTATCACTGTCATATTTTCACTGCATCAGTTGGTTTCACTGTATCACATTATTACCGTATCACAGTTTCACTGTATCAGTTAGTATCACTGTGTCACATTTTCACTGTATCACTATTCTGTAACATATTAAAGCGATAGTTTAATACTCAAATTCACCCATTCCTCAAATCTTATTCCAAAAGCAGGTGATCAGCTAAGACACGTTTGAAGTTTGCTTTTTAGTTTTTATCCTGGAGCTACAGGCTAATGTTGCTAAGCAGTGGCAGGTTATACCCGACCAATTAGCATGGTGCTAACTACATGACTGACATGCCTGCTGGACACCGTATGACATACTGTGATCTGTACATGGAAAAAGATACAGTCTTTGATTGACGCCTGTTCAATACGCTGAAGCTCCGCCTCCACTTGCTTTGAGTACTGTCGCAGATCAACACCCTAAAAACGTGACAAAGATATTTAAACCGGATTTTCTACCAAACCAGATACTCTACAAGCAAAATAATCCATTAATAAACTAAATAATAATATTCAAATCCAAAATCTCACCGTTTTAAGAGCCTCCTTGACCAGCTCATCCTCCAGGTTGGCCTGAATGTGGACTGAAGAGAGACAAACAAAGGTATTTTAAGGTTTGTGCACTTAAAATATCTTTAGCCTGACTAAAACTGCTAGTCTGATATGAGATTATTTAAACAGCACAGCTCGCTGGTCTTGGCACGATTAAGATGTTAGTGTAAGCTTTTTGCGATTAAAGGGCCCAAATCCTACACGTTTCTTCGATTTTTTTGTCCACTTATAACATTTGTGTTTTTATGTACCAAAAACAGTCATAATTTATTTTTATATGACCATTTTCTAACCTCTCATTACCCCTTACTATTAAAACAGGCTGTTTTTGTTTGTTACTGTGCCTTTAAGACTGATATATATGTAAATGAACTCTGTTTTAATTGGCTGCCAAGTATTGTGTATTTCAAAGAGCAGTCCAGGTTGAAAGACAATGCATCCACCTTACTCCTGCGCTGTTGCTTTGAGGGATTTACAGGCAACATGTGAAATGCTAATGACCTCCTAACATGATAGAAATGTGGGAATAAATGAAAATATAAATAATCTTCATTGCTGGGACGCCTGAATGCAGTGTGCTGATGTCTGAAATGCTTAAGTCAGAGGAACCCGTCTATAGTCTACACAGATTATTCACACTAATAAAGTCTTTTTATTAAAACTGTTTAAACTGCGCTCACTCTGAGAGTCAGATACAGGCAGAGAGTCATAAAGCAGTGCCGTTACACAGCAACGACGAACGTAGAGAACTGTTTTTAAACCATAACACTCCTCATACGTTCACCATGCTATGTTAGCCTAAAGCTAGCGGGGCTAGCTCAGTGCTATATGCGATTTTATGCCAGCTCTAGTTTAAAAACAGACATTTTTAGCTCATAACAGCCTCATAAGGAACGTTCTTTACTTTGTATGTCTCAGTTTTTAGGTGACTCCTTTTTTAAAGGCTTTTATTATTGCAGCGCTAGCCTGTTAGCCAGCTAGCAAAACTGTGCTTTGTCCTGGATTTCGTCCGAGACATTAATGGGACATAAAACATTACACTCTTGGAAAAGATCTTCAGTAAAGAAAATGGTTCTAGATAGAACTATGAACACTCAAAGAACCATCTGCGAGATTACATGGTTCTTTGCATGATGAATTGGTTCTTCAGAATGATGGACAGTGCGGTGTAGACGGTTCTATGCACCACCAAAGAGGGTCATGCTATAGTTACATACTTGACATCGTAACAATAGAAGAACCCTTTTTTGGTGCCGTAAAGAACCCTTTTCAGCACATCTTCCACCCATCTGAAGAACTCATTCACAATGCAAAGAACCATGTAATCATGCAAAGTGTTCTATGGGTGCTTATGGTTCTACCTAGAACCATTTTATTTACAAAAGAAGACTTGAAGAACCGTGTTTTTTAAGAGTGTAGTTACTGACGTGGCTTCATTCATAAATATCTGGACACAGACAGAGCGGAGCATGAGAGCACTTACTGTCCACCTCGTCCAGTATGAACTCGTCGGTGGTTATGTCCAGATCCCCCAGATTCAGCGCAGGGACGATGTCAGCGTCGGGCTTCTGACGAACGAATGAAGAAAGGAGGATAACATTAGTCAACGAGACAGAAAACACGTTTACAGAAACTCAATCTGTGTTTAGTTTTTATGTGTTTTGAACTTTTCTTTCAAAACAATCACACCTTCCGGTCAAACACACACAAACCGCTCTGTAACAGGGACGTCACTATACTGTGTAATAAATATAGTTTATAAATGCTTTAAAACATTTTTAATATAAAAGAGTTCATTCATTTCCTGAACACAGAGCAGCGTAAAACATTTTAACACCGCTGTTATATTTTTAAGAACTTTTAAACTCGAGTTACAAGAGTGGACATCAGTGAGCTCAAACAGCCAATGAGCTGCTCTGCTCACCAACCAATCAGCTCTCAGTAGCAGTAATGCTAACCAATCAGCGCTCAGTAGCAGTAATGTTTACCAATCAGCACTCAGTAGCAGTAATGTTTACCAATCAGCACTCAGTAGCAATAATGCTAACCAATCAGCACTCAATAGCAGTAATGTTAACCAATCAGCACTCAGTAGCAGTAATGCTAACCAATCAGCACTCAGTAGCAATAATGTTAACCAATCAGCACTCAGTAGCAATAATGCTAACCAATCAGCCCTCAATAGCAGTAATGTTAACCAATCAGCACTCAGTAGCAGTAACACTAACCAATCAGCACTCAATAGCAGTAATGTTTACCAATTAGCTCTCAGAAGCAGTAACGCTAACCAATCAGCACTCAGTAGCAGTAATGTTAGCATTCTGCTACCTAAAACCCATTTGCTGTAGAAAAAGGAAACACACAGGTGAGTTTTCTTTGCTTTTTTAGTGAAATGCATCCTTCTGCTGTCTAAAATTAAAGGAAAGCTCTGGGCGAGTGATTAGAAACTATTTAAACTGTTCGTTTTTAGCCATTTAGCCTCTATTCACCCTCATTCATTGAGGACTCCCTCGCGGGCGCCCTCTGGCATTTTTGAGTCCTGTTTTTGATATAATGGGGGAAATAGGAAGAGGCCAGACTCCTCATAAACTGGCTCTTTGCCTAGCAACCAAAACACATTTTGATTGGTCATATTTGGGCCAATATTTTTAAATAAATAAGAGAAGAACTTTATCTGTGTCATCGGTTTGTGCCGTCAGTTTCCACAGTAGGAGCAGTTTTTCGTACAGTGTTTTCCTGCATTTGATGTTTTGTTTAATCTAACTATGTAAAAATGGATGATCATATGTTTTTTGGAAAATTGATTAATATTAACAATATGCGCAATAAATGAGGCGACCACGGAAAAACGCCTAGTAAAGTGAGGCAGTGGTGTGAAGCCGCTAATGTAACTTAGCTGATGGTGTAAACTTCGGTTAACAACTCAATATTAAACACACTGCTTCAAGGTGCTGATCCACTGTTTAATATCACTAAAAATGACGTTAAAACGTGCTAAAATACATTTTAACTGGCTGTGAAAGTTTACCCCACCTGCCATTTTCGTGTGGCGCTGGGTGACGGTCAATATTTACACAGATATGACGTCCAAACTCAGCGTAGATGGTCTTGCCGACTACATGGACATACGACCATGTCTCAGATGTGTTGTTGATAAGTGACAGTAAAGTGCTTTTATTATGTAAACAGGAAAAGCCGCGGGTGTATGGAATACTGTGCTCTTACGTTACCGAATAATCAGAGCTCTGAATAAGAAACAGAGCTTTAACATTTAAAGTATCGAAAACTGAACCGAATCTTTACCTTCGAAAACCATATTGAACCTGATGACGTGTATCGCTACACCCCTAATGTACCGGTACAGCACAGCTGGGATTCTCCAGCTTCGTGTTCGAATTTTCCCGTTCCACCTTAAATGGTGCAGCAGTTACATTCAGAACGTAACTGCTGCACCATTTAAGGTGGAACGGGAACATTCGAACACGAAGCTGGAAAATAAGAGGCCATTAACTCTAATTTAACTCTAGAGGAAGGTCTTTATCGGGATTGGAGAGAAATAACCAGAAATCGTCCTCTACTGCACTTCATTTCCATTTTTAAGTATTTGTGCTTCAATTTATTTACTAATCTGGGGATTTTAACCCTGTGTTGATATGGCAACAGAGACCGCAGGCTAAGCAAGTTAAATGAGACCTTCAGGATGTTGTAATCGTTGTTAAAGTGTTACACAGCCAGGATTTCAGCTAAAATAAAGTTGCAGATCAACATTAATGTACTGTCACTCGGCCAGGACATTAAATTTAAGCACCGAGCTGTAAAAGCGCCGTTTGCCAAGCGACTCTGAGTAAATGATCAGCTGTTTAGACACCGAGCTGCTAACAGATCAGTGAGCGGCTGCTGTCAGAAATCCTATTTTTTTTTTAAATAAAAATAGCCTCTAAAATGTACCTCGTCCTGTAAATAAGCCATAGCGGTGGTCGCGGAGCCCCCAGCTGTGTTTATATCAGCAGCGGCCTCGCCGGGGAGCAGATCCTCCGCCATTACGACGAATAGATACTAAAAAACTACATTGACCATCAAACTACAACATACAAATCCGTCACGATTTCTGGTCCGATGAGAAACCAATACCGCAGTCATGGTTACAACACATATGAAACGTTTTATGTCTTAATCATGTTATTTTTGTTTTTATATAAAACACATTTAAACTAAATCATGTTTTTCTTTATGTACAACAGGTTTTAATAACGATTTATCCAAAAGACATTTTAATTACTTATGAAATAGTTTGTGTATAATTTTAAATAAACGAAGCTAAAACACTGTAGTTTATCAACCTAGAAACGGACCGCAATCCACATGATTTATACAGTTATTAACCTCACATATGAACTTGCTATTAACCATCAAATATGAACTTGCTAGAGAGACATTCTTTTTTTTAAATGTCTTGCACAGACAACATAACAAACAGCATATAAATTACAAACAATGCAGAGAGATTACAAATGGGTTTACAGTTAATACTGACATTTATCTGCGATATTAAGAGGATATTAAATGGATTACAGACGATAGATGTAATAAAAGTGATATTTTAATGTTAATAGAAAAGAATTACCAACAAACGGGATATTTTCATATTTGTTACGGCACTTTTATCAACATATAATACATATTAATAACATTAAACAAATATTGATACAATTATCGACATAATTATTGTTTATTTTCATATTAGCACGTTGTATTTATCTGGAGGACTTTTATTAACAGGCGACGAAATCGCTTCCTGCACAAATTACGCCGTAGTTCTCGCGAGATCTGCGTCCTGTCCTTTTTCCGCGGATCCAGCGCCGAGATGGTGAGTGTGAGAGCGACTCTGACAATAAACATCAAAAATCCTCAAACATCGCCTTCATCGCGCTTTATACAGCATCTCTGACTGCACTGTTGTTGTGGGGGAAGCCTGTAAAAGTAGTATCGACGTGTATTTTGAGTAAACAAACTCGATTTAATGAGATAGGAGGGTAAAAGTAGCCGATTGCTAGTTGAGTGTCGCTCTCAGGGAGTCGCGGTTTGGCTGGACCGCCGTTAGTTACTGAGAGATAAACGCGCTTTTCTTCACATGTTTGGGCGAAATCTGTGGTCAGTAATCGTGATAGTTTGCTATAAAGTCTTTACATCACACGTACGTGAGTTTTTAATACGGTGTAGCTGAAATAGACTGGGCTAAAGTCAACTGCTTGTTCGAATCCCCCGTTCCACCTTAAATGGTGCAGCAGGTACATTCTGGCGCCACAGGATTTGTAGTAACTGCTGCACCATTTAAGGTGGAACGGGAAAATTCGAATAAGCAGTTTAATTTAGCTTCGTTAAATCTAATCGGGTATCTGTAACATATACACAGCCTGCAGTACGGAGTTAAACAGTTACTGAGCTGAAACTGTGAGAATTGTGTTGGAAGGCTTTGGTCTCCAGCGTTAGCCGCTGCCTGAAGGAGTAGTCCACCAAAAAAATAAAATGCATTGGTTCCCCTTTATTTAAAGTGTAGTCATATCCGCTAAGACATGTTTGATGGGTGAAGTTTGCCTCTGGAGCTGTGAGGCTAATGTAGGTAGGTTAACTGGTGGAAGTCTGTCACCCAAAGTCTTCATCATATAGGACTGAACAGCATGGAAATTAACTTCAGACTTCATTATTTGAGGTTTGACAAGACCACATGCACCAGTACATTGAAAGCGTTAAGTGATTAATTTAATATTTCACATACTGTAAATCTGGCTAAGCAGCACTTATGATCTGTTAATAAAGCATGTCGTTCAGTGTTCGTAACTGATCTACACAGTGTGCTCAGATTAATGTTGTAATTTATTACAATAAGGACAAAATATGGACACATTGCTCAGTAAAAGTAAAAATGCTGAGACTTCAGATGCTGAGCATGTCTTGGCTGACTGACTGTATGGAGACACTACATTTGATTTCAGTGAGGCATGTCTTTAAGCGCTAATCTTGAGTGATGGAGCTCTAATTTGACCTACTGTAAATGTTCAGAGCTGAAGCTGCAGACATTTAATCACCTCTTTTTTGTGTGTCTTTTCAGTCTCTCGTGATCCCAGAGAAGTTCCAGCACATTCTTCGTGTTCTCAACACGAACATCGATGGTAGGAGGAAGATCGCCTTCGCCATCACTGCTATCAAGGTGAGCCTGAGTGAAGAGCGTTCACCAGACAAAAGCGTGTTCTTCTAAAGCTGCGGTGTCCTGTTCTGGTCCTGGAGGGATGGAGTCCTGCTCTGATGCACCTGCCAAACATGATAAACTAACTGCTGAGTTATGTTGGACATGTTTGATCAGGATAAAGCACCAGACTGTGGCCCTCCAGGACCAGAGCTGGACGTCACTGCTGAAAGATCAGTCGTCTACACTTGTTTTTGATTGGGAAAAGAAATGTCTGGTTTAGTGAGTGTCTGTTGGAGCTGTATTTGTCGTTGACTGAATGTGTCCTTTTCAGGGTGTTGGCAGACGATATGCCCACGTCGTCCTGAGGAAGGCAGACATCGACCTCAACAAGAGGGCTGGAGAGCTCACTGAAGATGAGGTGCGTCACTGACAGCCTTGTTTGATCAGTACTGTTTCCATGAAGATTTAACTGCTTAAGCTGAGTTGCATCGGTACATGCGACCGGCCGTAATTTGATATGCAGCAGTTGTTCAGCGTGTTTCAGTAGTTTATACTTGTTCTTACTGTCATATTAACCGTATATGGTAAATATTACTAGCAGGGTGCAGATGGAACTTTTTTCCTGTCCTCGGTTGGTGCTTTCCTGTAAATAATGAAGTTGTTCTGAGCTTCAAGGATGTAGTTTAAGATATTCTTTTTATATTAAGGGTATCAAACTGAGGAGATGGTCAGTTTGCATGTTTCAGTGGTGTCCCGACTTATAATTTGGTAAATTTGTGAGTACTCTGTAAATCTGAGGGATGGTGTAGGGTTCTATATTGGATCAGTGACCTAATTGGACAAAGGATTATTGTAAATGTGACGAAGGCAGATAATGAAGTTTGCATGCTAGCCAGTAAAATAAGAGCACCAAACTGCAGACTTGTCCTGAAACTACAAGGTTTTTTTGAGCATATTTCTTAGTGATTAATCTAAAATATTGAACAGGAGGCGGAGTTAATTGGTACTATGAAACAGCAGTAAAAACACTTGCCTTTGGATTTGCCAGGTTGGTCTGCAGCACCTCAAACATTTCCATCCGGAGGGGAGTTGGATATTGTGCTAAATGCTTTCATCTGTTGCACAAGACTCTCTTGTACTGCTGTGCAAAAACATTTCTTTATCCTCCTCAGCTTTTTTAATGCACTTCATACTGTGTTGAATTATGATCATAGGAATTTGTTTGGTTGCTTTCGCCTGTCAGCATTACGGACTTTTATTTTCAGTATTATCAAAAACATTGTCAAGCAATTTGTGTAAAACTAGTTTAATGGTTTCTTTTCCAGGTTGAGAGGGTTGTGACAATTATGCAGAATCCTCGCCAGTACAAAATCCCTGACTGGTTCCTGAACAGGCAGAAGGACATTAAGGATGGCAAATACAGCCAGGTATGACCATCCCAGGGCTTTTCCTTCTAAAATTTTAACTGTGCAATGGGAATAAATCATTCTGGTTGTGTTCTTGGCCCATTCAGGCGATCCAGTCTTGAAGCAGACAACTTATTTTCTTGGCTTCCACATTTGGTACTCATATTACAGCAGCATTGTTTTTTTTTAATTGATTGTCAGCTATTTGTCAAATGTTAAGGTGTACTGTCTTTTTATAAATGTATCAAATAGAGCATTTGATATGGTTTAATATGGCCAAGATAATGGGCTGTAGCTTGAATCAATACCTCTTCCCCGGTACTTCTAGTCCATTCTGGAGCCATGGTCACCAACCAGCTCTTTCTCTGGAGAGCTACTACCTGCAGAGTTTAGTTCCAGACTGCATCTAAAATGCTGCCTCATCATTACTGAACACTAATGAATCTGACTGAGCCAATCAGGGACTTCATTTAATTAGCTGAAGCAAGTGTGTCAGTTTGTAATTGGAACAAGACTCTGCAGGAAGGTAGAGCTCCAGGACCAGAGCTGGTGACCAGTGTTAGAGTTTAATACTTTGAGCTATCACAGTGCATCATAGTCGCAGGTTAAGGGTGTAACGACTTGCAAAACTCATAATGTGCTTCAATATCATGGTTTCTGTGTTACTAATTTTATTTGTGTAGCTGCAGATGAAAAAGGTCATGCTGGCTTTGTCCTGTGCTCATGGTGTGTGTTGTTGTAGGTCCTGGCCAACGGTCTGGATAACAAACTGAGAGAAGACTTGGAGAGGCTGAAGAAGATCAGGGCCCACCGTGGTCTCAGGCACTTCTGGGGGTGAGCAGCTCACTTTATCAGTCATTCAGGCTCTTTTATTTCAGTGTTCCGGATCACGGAAGGTTTAACGTTGTGATCCTATGTACTCGTAACCCTGGGGAGAAACCCAGCATCTGATTTGTAAATGTGCTGTAGACGTTGGTAATTTGGGTGAGATTCCCAGATTCTCTGGGTTGGTGGGATGCCCCCCCACCCCCCCCAATCACTCATTGTGATGCTAGTCAGTGCAGGCGTCTGTTAGCTGACGTAACAGATCTGGTGTTTGGCGCTTTCCTCCGAGCGCGTTCAGCTGTCCAATGACGTTGCGTGAGCGGCAGTTCAAAAAGATGCGGCGGAGCTTCACAGGTCTCGGAGGAAGCCTGTGTTAGCCTTCACCCTAATCCTAGAGCTAGTGGTATTGTGTGATTGGGGGAGTCAGAACTAGAGGGTGAAATTGGATATGACTAAATTGGGGGTGGGTTTCAGGTCATGGCACTGGTGTTGCACAAAAAATCTGAGATGCATTTAAGAACATTTTATTATGCAGTAATAACTGAGGGAAATGGGTACGTTTTAGTGTCCTAACATAGCAGAGATGCTTCAGATGCGCTAAAACTACAGCTAGCCGGAAGCACTGGATGCTGATGAGGACTTGAATTTTCTACAGCTGTGTTTTTTGTTTTGTTTTTTTTTTTTTCCCTCCCCCTCTCTCTCTCTTCAGTAGACGATGTGCCAGCATGTTCGTTTGTCAAAAATATATTTTAACTAAATCTAACATCAATTTTCTTTTTTTGAAACCAATAAAAGCTGCACTATCGCACACTCACATTTTGGAGTAACAGAGAATGACAAACTTAATAAAAAGCTTAAATGTTTACATTTGATCTGTTTATTTTGAATCTGTTTTCAAGCGATGAAGCAGTTCAAACACCCAAACAGGGATTTTAGTTTTCAAACACTGGCTCCTCAGACAGTTAGTGCTCCCGTTTCTGTACATATAACTATTGAAAATGAGCTTTTATTGACTTGTTGCTTGTTTATTGACTGATTGCACACTGGATGCACTGATTCTCTCACCAATCAGTGTTTTGTACTGTGAGCATCTTGACGAATTGAACTGACGTTATTTCTCTCCTTCTCTTCTAGTCTGCGTGTGCGCGGTCAGCACACTAAGACCACCGGCCGTCGTGGACGTACCGTCGGTGTGTCCAAGAAGAAGTAATCGCTCTCCCTGCTCCCCTGGTGTCAATAAAATCACACTGTTCATAAGAAAGGCCCTCTCTGTCCTTGTTTGTGCTCTTTGGCTCGAAGCCTCTTCAGGGTATCTACAGGTGTCTTAAATGTCTTCAGTTGAACTGAATGGGATGTAAAAGCCTAAAGAAATCATTTATTTTAAAAAATGTTCTCATAGGTGTGATGCACTGTTAGCTTTGCACTGAAATGCACAAGTAAATAGTCTAAAATTCAGAACTAAATAGTAGCTTTCTTATCTGGAAATGTGTGTTCTGTTTGGTTCAGGTCTACATTGTTGTGGAAGGTTCACTTTGGCATCATTTCAAGTGAAGAACCAAAAAAAAAACAGTCCAAACAAAACAAGCTGCGTCAGACGTTCCTTTAGTATAAAGCAGCAGAATTCGTTAATGATTAACTTCACTGAGGTGTGATATCTGGAAAACAATGGTGAATTTGTTCAGTACAGTTCAATACTAATGTACCGATGTCCTCAAGTTGACAGCGTTGCCTGTTTCACACATGCATAGGATTGATTACTACATGCGCAGACTGGTGGTGAAACTCCATCACTGTTGAATCATCTAGATGAATTCTGTCCACCATTCTGCATAATTAAGTGGTTCAGATGTAAACATTGAGTGGTTTGGTGTGAAATGCTCTGTTCTAGAGTTAGAACTGTTCACAGTGGTGGTGATAGGAACCAGACGTCCACCTCTAAAAGCTCCCTCACAGAAAGTTCCTACATGAAATGGTTATGAATTCACTGCCTGATGACTGAGACACTGTTTTACGATAGTTCAGAGAAGGTTTGGGGCTTAAAATATATGGTGGAGGGATACATGCGGGATGTTGTGAGGCAAAATATCCCCCAAAGAAAACTTACTTCAGATTTATCAGTATTTTCCATCATCAACATTCCATATGACACTCAGAAGACCCATGTAGGTTCACTGGTGGTTTACATTAATTTCAGGGGACCCTGAGCTGCTTCCAGGCCAACTTGGAGATATAATCCCTCCAACAGGTTCAGGAACAACCCGGGGGCTTGTCCCAGTAGGCCGTGCCTGGTACACCCCCACCAGGGCCTGCAGCCAATCTCACGATCCCTCTTGCCATCACTCGTGAACAAGACCCCGAGATTTAAACTCCTCCACCTGGGGCAGGTCCTCCCACCTTACCTGGAGCGGGCATGCCATCCTTTTCCAGGCAGGTGGTTCTGGATAGTAAATAAAATGTTTATATTTGTGTTGTAGTCATGGTGACCTCTGGTTCCTATCACCACCACTGTAAAGAAACCTGAACCATTTCACACCAAACCACTCTGAATCTCTCTGTTTACAGCACAAATGTTGAATTATTTGCGTTTTCTCTTGTTGTGGCCTGTCATACAGAAGCTGGGGTAGTAACGGCTGTAGGAATGACCAAATTAACCAGGGACTCTTACTAGACGTTGGTCAGTATGAAATGTTTTCAGTGTAATTCAGATATTAGAGACTGGTCTCTTTTTTCAGTTTTTCACTGTCTCAGAACCCAACACATTTTTAAGCACTGTTGTAGCACATATACCAGAGTCTCACAGTCCTGCTCCTGCTGACCCACAGCTCTGCACAGTTTCAGCTCATCTAGTTCAATAACTGAAGCCCTTTACATTTGTCTTTCTAATCTAACAGAACACAAAATACTGCTGAAGAAGGAAACGTTCTTGTGGTAGATCTTTTAATTCAAAACGAAGAAAACTCAATTCATATTTCATCTTAAACCTTCCTCTCTTTTGCATATACATATATAAATCTGAATCAATCGTCTGCATAAACTGCCAAAGCAATATCATATATAAATATGTGGTCATTAAGAATCTGTACTAAATGCTACAAAATTTGTACAATAGCAACAGGACAGAAGTGCCGTATTAAACAAGGCAGGAGTGAACAGAGGGGCACAAACAGCAGGTGTTTACAGTCGGACGACCAGTTTGACCTACAAAGGTGAGGATAACTAGTCTACACACAACAGGGATGGGACGTTTACTGGTTTTAATGGGAAACGGTGGTATAAAAACCCAGTGAAAACCGTATCATTTCAAATTTGAAGATTTATGGTAACCATGTAGGACTACAGTCTTTAAAAAGTAAAGTGATGATGGAAATAAGTAGTTCAAGCTAAACAGCACAAGAACAACACAGGTGGGATGTTTTCTAACTTACTCATCTGTGCAAATAATGGCAGAGTGTTGATTTGTTGAAGCTGACTTATCAATATAACACCTATGATGAAAAGATTTGTGTTTTTAGTGTTTTATAAACATTTTCAATATATTTTAATAATAATACCATAATTTTGGTGATGATATGATATGACTCCACATATGAATCATATTCGCTTTGTTTCTTTTTTTATTTTCTTGTGCATCTCATTAGAAGTAAAGAGTGGTGCAAAGTTCTGTGTCCAAATAATCTCACATTTGATGTGATTTATAAACAGGATACCAATAAATTTCATCTGAAATCTGAAGTGGCTGCAGAGGTTCTCGTACACTGTGGAGATGCTGTGTATGAAATTCTCATGTGTGCGTTATTTATGCATCTATGCGGTATTTCACAGAGCAGGGTTTCTTTAGTAAGCTGGATAATTTAAACTCAAAGTGAGGATTATCCCACAGGAAACTCTATTAGATCTGCTCTTATTGGACCGGCTTGAGTTTTGGGTTTAAATTATCCCATTAATCAAATATTGCCCAATTTTTTTCCTCTGATTTTGTGCACACAGATGTACAAACCATGATCTGTTAAAAAAAACTTTCTGTAAATCTGTAAAACTTCTTTATATGACTGTAGTCTATCATGTGAATTCTTAAAAAGCTGTAAAACGTTATTATATTTTTATAAAAAGCTGGAATACATACTGTGGCGACTTGAGCTGTTAGTGTGCGTTTAAAACCCTGCCTTGTGGAATAACCTCCGACCTTCTGAACTGAACTTCCATTAGTCCAGGCATGTCAAAGTGGGGACCTTCCAGGCCAAAGTGCTGTGGAGATCATTGTTTACCCTCATCTAACTCTCTGAATTCAGTTCATGAAGGCCTTGCTAATGAGCTGATGAGCTGAATCAGGTGTGTTTAATGAGGCCGTGTGATGAAGTCTGCAGAGCTTCGGCCCACGAGGACTGAAGCCTGACACGTGTGGTTTAGAGCCTACAGGCCCAACATAGTCACACGAGAAGTGAACTGAGTCTGCAGTGATTGGAGTTTTATCGTTCTTCATGGCTGTGAGGGTCCGGTCGGCGGTGTTTTCTGTGGCTGCTGCTGCTGTTCTTTGGTGGGAGCGTAGTAAAGCTCCAGAGGTTTGCTCACCTTCCAGTACTTCTCATTCACCAGCTCCAGCGTCAGAGAGCCGTTCAACGTCTGTCAGACAAAAGAAGAAGCATAAAGGACAAATAGTCGTAAATAGGCTTGGGCACCGGTCAGAATATTTGGATACTGACAGCTTGACTTGAATATTAACAATAACAGCAACAATAACAACAATAGTGATATGTTATATGACACCTTTCAAAAACCCAAGGATACCTGATACAAATTGATTGACAGATTCCTAAACAATAATGTATGTTCAGTATCTCAGACAGAGTCACATCAGTGTAGTGTTTTTCTTATTGACTCGCTGACACTGATAACATTGACTACTAAGGTACTGAAATCTGGTATTTGGAGTTTTATTCTTTGGTATCAGAACAATTCATTTGATATCATGAAAGTACCAATTTCTAATAAAAGAAAACAATGGCCCCAAAACTGAAGTGAGACAGCAATGATGAGAACATTTCTGACATTCAATATCAAATTAACCAAGTCTCTGTTAGTGCCAGTGACAACAGAAACATGATGCAGTTTTATATTAATTATTTCATATAGAATGTACAGCAAATTGCTGCTGTTGGGATAAAATCTCTTACGTCCATTTTTGTAATTTTTCAGTTTTTGACTTAATTTGAAAATACCTGTTGCTCTTTACGTTGTGTATAAATTTCATGCTGAATGGACCAAATGAAATGGCCAAAAATGACAGGGAAAAAAAAGTCTGGTTCCTTTGACTTACATTAAAAGTAAAGTAGGTTTTTTGCTTCTCCTGTAAAGTTACCATTTTGGAGATACAGGGTTTTCTTCCAACAACAGCAGAATGTTAATATAATTCATTATGCAACAAAGTGTAATTTCGTAACTATATGAGAAAATGTCAGTAATAACTTTAGCCTTTGAAGGGTTAAATATGTATGATAGCATTTACCATTAATAAATAATTGGATGGCAAAAGCAATCTGCGAGCGTATTTCCACAGCACATTCAAAATAAGAACGGACCCAAACTTTTTATGCCATGCTAAAGCATTAATTTGGCTAATTAGTAACTGCCTGCTGCTTTAGTTAGCCTGTTGGCTGATATGAAACACTCATACAAACGCCTACATGTGTGGAATCAAGCAAAGCTAATTTTTTACAGGTGTTAAAATATCAACAAAAGCACTCAGTGGAGGTTAGCACAAATGCTAACAGCGTAAGCTTCCTAACTACACTCTTTAAAAAGATGGTTCTTGAAGGGTTCTTTAGCTAAGATAATGGTTCTAGCACCAAAAATGGTTCCTCTATTGTAACAATATCAAGCTTGTAACGATAGAAGAACTCTTTTTGGTGCTATACAGAACCATTTTCAAAAAAGGTTCCATATAGAACCATGTACAGCACATTCTCCCTCAACCTGCATAACCCTTTCACGATGCAAAGAACGCTTTAGCCATGCAAAACGTTCTTTTGAGTGTTCATAGTTCTGTATCTGTTCTACAGTTTACTTTGCTAAAGAACCCTTGAAGAACCATATTTTTGAAGTGTGTAGATTACCTTAGCAAACTTTTTACAAAGTAAGAACTGGTGACTTTATCTTGACCTGGAAGAGTAAAGAATTGTCTAAATTGACCCTCAGCTGTGAGTGTTATTAGATCCTGTTGGTACCAATATTGACCACATACCAAAAAAACAGAAAACTGGAACCTTCAGTGCTGGACAGAAGACCAATGGTCAAATTCCACTTTTCTGGTTCCAAAGGTTTCTGGTACCTTGTGCAGTGGGAGGATGCTCTAACAGAGCTAGACTGTGTACTTACGGAGAACTGTCCTCCGGCTGTAGTGATGTAGATGGTGTACTGTTTCTCGCTGACGTTCTGCAGGCTGCTCCCTCCTCCCTCTTCCCTCGTTCCCACTTCTCCCTCTGCAGGCCGCTGTGGATTCGAGTGCATGTCCCTCTGCTGCTCCTCCAGTGCGATCCGCAGGGCCAGGTACTTGGACAGGTGGTCCACTGTAGCGTTCGCTGTGGTCTTCACATACCTGAGGAGCAGGCAGAGCAGAAGAGAGCTCATTCAGTGATTCAGAGATTCAGTGAAAAATCAAAACAAAAAGATTTGACTCAGTTTGGTTCTTTAGGAAATGACTGAAATCTTGTGAAATCTCAAATTTCTCAAAATTTCAATTTGAAAAGGTTCTTGTGGAAATGATTCAGTAAGTGATGAAATTTTAAAGTTCTCAAGTTTCACAATAAGTCGAATCAATTCAGTTCTTTAGGAAATGATTCAGTGTATCACGAAATCTCAAATTTCTTAAAGTTTTCATGAAATTTTAAATTTTACAAAGATTTGATTGAATTCAGGCATTTAGAACTATTCAGTAAATCAGGAAATCTCAAATTTCATAATAAATCAAGTCAATTCAGTTCCTTAGGAAATGATTCAGTGAATCATGAAATCTTACATTTCACAAAAATTTCAGTCAATTTAGTTCTTTAGGAAATAATTTAGTGAATAATGAAATCTTACATTTAACAAAAGTTTGATTTAACTCAGTTCTATAGAAAACAAGTGAAACATGAAAGCTCAGATTTTATAAAGATTCAATTCAATTATTTAGTAAATGATTTATGCATCATGATATCTCAAATATCACAAAGATTCAGTGCGATTTTTTTATTTGGGTTTTAAGGATATCATTCAGTGCACTATGAAATCTGAAATTCAGTTTAATTTTTTTTTTTAATAATAATTTTTTCTTGAAAAACGCAGTGAATGAAAATGTAACTAAAGAAACTATTAATACTGTAGTGGAATTTAGAGAACAAAAAAAAACTTTATATTTTGGATTTTTACACAAACATTGTATGAATATTTTATTTTGGTGAATAATCTATATATTTAATATTCTTGTAATTTGTGATAATTGATTATAACATTCCAAAATTCTCAAACTTTATAAATGAGTCTTTTTTATTAAAGAAATATGTTGTACAAAAGTAAAACCAAAGAAATTCCTTTTATTAATTTCCTTTTATTGTCTATTAAAAGTGGAGACACTGGCCCACACGTATTATAAACATTCAGTCATTCAGTCGTACCCCACTCAGTTTGCTCTGACCTGGTCTGGCTGTAGTGCTGCGTGTTGGCCAGTAGGGGGTGTGGGTGGAACACTAGCTCTATCTCGGAGGTGGGGCTCTGGCCTGGGGGTCTACGGCTCTCCCCTTCAGCCTCAGAGTCGTCGGAACCTCGCTGCCTCTTACTGCGGCTGGGGCCGGCCTCGGGGGCGTGGCTGGAGGGGGCAGAGTTCATGTGGGAGGGGGCGGAGTCATGTGAGACGTGCGAGCGAGAGTCAGCATTGTCCTCTCCGCCACTGAAGGTGGTGTTATCGCTCTCCTGCTGAGGTTTCCGCACACGCTGAGGCCTGAAGACCCCAAGAACAGCAACATCAAGAGTCTCACAACATATAATGAACTTAAACTGATGCTGTGTTTATGGTCAAGTGGGAACCGGGAAGTTTTCAACTTCCAAGTAGGAAAAATTCAGGTGAAAGTCCTTTAAATCAGTAATTCCTGCTCAAAGTTCCTAATCTGTGATACAATTTCAACATCACTCTGTCCATAGAACAAGAAATAATTGCATGTTTTAACCAATATGTAATTTGTGTATAATGTCTTTATTTACATGACATGGAGACACATGAATAACTGTGAGGTTAAGCCCTTTTTTTGATCTAACTGCACTCATTTGTGTCATTTTTTGACACAATACTTTTGATTAAATACAATAGCCTAGATCAGGGGTCGCAACCTAAATGTTAAGAGGAGACATTTTGTCCTTTCAAAAAAAATCAAACCACCTTGGGAGCCACAACATTTTATATCCATTTTACCATGTTTGCTGTAAATATGTCTCAGTATGTGCTGATGTGTTCGTAAAGGCTAAAAATATAACATAAACGAAAACGCAGACTTATTTTGCTCTGCTTTAAGCTTTAGCTCAGCTATAGCTGCTTTTCTCGCATCTCCGGCAGGAAACTTTTTCTCAAAAGTAGAACAGTTTTTTGTAAAATGTCTCTCAATGTTCGACTTTTTACAAGGCTGAAGCTTCTCATTTGAATTTTCCCGTTCCACCTTAACTGGTGCAGCAGTTACATTCTGGCACCTCAGGCACCATTTAAGCTGGCGAACGAGAAACTGACTTCAGATTTGTGACTTTTTAGAGTTTGTCAGTTTCTCGTTGCGGATTAAACGTATCAGGAAACCGGCTGGAGTGATTATGAATGCAAATAAGTTAATTCTGCGCTGATCTTCAGGGTTAAAGGGTGAATTAGCAGTTCTACATTAACTCCAGCATTTAAGACCATTTATTGTTAAACTGTGTTGAACGATCAGCAGAGCTTTATTTTACTGTAAAGGAGGATTATTTTATTATTACCTACAAATCTGATTCTGCTGTGGAGCCACAACAGGGCAGTAAAACAGCCGCATGTTGCCGACCCCTGGCCTAAATCAACATTTAAAATAAATAAAGAACTAACCAAACTGCTCTTTAATTCAACTCTAAGAGCTTTTTTTTTTGTTTTGGATTTTTATCCGATTTTTCACCCCAATTTAGTCATCTCTAATTCCACCCGCTAGTTCGGGCTCCCCCAGTCACACACGATACCATCAACGCTAGGAGGGTGAAGGCAGCACAGGCTTCCTCCGAGACCTGTGAAGAGCCACCACATCTTTTCGAACTGCCGCTCACGCAACGTCACTGGACAGCTGAACGCGCTCGGAGGAAAGCGCCAACCGCCAGATCTGTTACGTCAGCTAACAGACGCCTGCGCTGACTAGCATCGCGCTGAGTGATGGGGGGAGAAGGAGGGGCCATCCTACCCACCCAGAGAGAGCGAGGCCAATTGTGCTCTCTCGGACTCCCGGCTACGGACGGCTGTAGCATCACCAGGGATTGAACTCGCGATCTCCTGATGAGAGGGCCAACGCTTAGACGTTTGCACCACTCGGGAGCCCGGTGAGAGCTTTTTACAGGCGTACAGCAGCCAAACAAGCACTAGCTTACTGTGAGCATCCTTTTTTTCCATAGTTGCAGGAATGCTTTTAGATGGGAAGCAGGAAATTTCAGGTTGGAAAACTCTGAGCTGTCATAAATGCAGAATTAGTTTCAGATTGACGAACCCAATGAAACTACAGTGAACTCATTTTATGACAGCAGTTAACCGCCTCCTCTGTTAGATTTACACACGGTCTCGGTATCTGGAGTGTAGAATACCACAGAGTACCTCATTATTGAATATCAGCACGTACAGTGTTCACTATAGTGTATCAGTGCTTGTGTTGTGGTGAGTGTGTGTACTTGTGTAAAGCCTGCATGCGAAGCCCCTCCTCGATGCTGGAGCTCAGCGCGGTTTTGTTGTGCAGTCGGCTCAGCTGCTCCAGAACGCGGTCCTGATGAGCCTCGTACTCGTCCCGACTCGGATAAATCTTGGAAATCAGAGCGTCGAAGTTCGGGTCTCTCCGCAGAGAGCGCTTAGAGACCAGCTTCTTCCTACAGGTGGGGCACTCTTTATTCCTGCGGCACAGAGGAGAGAGGGAGGAGAGAAGAGGAAAAAGGAGGGGAGAATATTTTTATTAAAACATTGAAAAGTTTACTTAATTGCAGAAAATGTGTGTTTCGGTGGTGACAATTCTTAAGGTTTGCTGATTTCCAGACTTTGGGACACATTTACTTCAAAACAATGGGATCTAACTGCTCACCATGTGGCCATGAGGGACAGGGATGCAGCCTCACTTCCTGCTCTAAAATGCTGAGGCGTGGCTAAAATAAAGCTCCACCCACACACTAAACCTCTCTGTTTCCATAGGGACATAAAACATGGAAGAGCAAGACTTTTTATTTAAAAATTAAACTCATCGTAAATCTAATTCTTCCAACTTCACTTTAGAACAAAAACATTGAACTAAAAAAACAAAAAAAAGTATTATTTTCAAGTGTAAATTTAGAGGTTAGGGTTTGGGACAGACACCGCACAACAGAAAGTACCCTGTAAATGATGGTTTTGTATATATTTAGCTTATAACTATATCTATTAATGGTTTAAATAGATCGTAACAATCTTTATAAATATCTTTGATCTGAATACTTTTTATGGGACCCCAGTTTGAATTAATTCAGTAGGATGCTCCTCATAACTTTTAAAAATACATTATTATGGCTTTATCAGAGAGATTTTTTTCACTGATGCCAACAAATCAGAGGAATCTTAATATCCTGATTCCAACAAATTGACCAATATCAACACCCACACACATTGGTCAGGCCATAGTGTACAGATATTATATCATAAACCATATACAGTAAGTTCATGTTTGTCTTCGACACACAATGACGTTTATTCATCAAAATTACGTAAAAAAGTGCAGATTTGACCACCTTTTTTGACACCTTTAACTACTCTGCATCTGATTCATGAAACTTTAATACCACATAGAAATGAGCAGAGATTTGAGCTCAAATGATGAATGAACTTCAGTGCATGAAATCAAGCACCAGCCTACCAGCATTTTGTTTACATATCATTTACATAAAGCATACCCTAATACAAGCAAATGTTTTGGTAAAAAGCCAATAAAATGATAATAACAACAAGCTGGGAGGTCTTTAGTCTGGAAAATGCAGTGTCCATTATTTCTAAAAGGAATTTCAAATTTTGATTCATTGGACCACAGGACACTTTTCCACTTTGCCTTAGTCCATCTTAAATGAGCTTTGGCCCAGAGAAGACGGCAGCGTTTCTGGATCGTGTTGACATATGGCTTCTTCTTTGCATGATACAGCTTTAACTTGCGTTTGTGTATTGCACGGTGAACTGTGTTCACAGACAGTGATTTCTGGAAATGTTCCTGAGCCCATGCAGTGATTTCCAGTACAGAATCATGCCTGTTTTGAATGCAGTGCTGCCTTAGGGCCCGAAGACCACAAGCATCCAATACTGACCGTCGGCCTTGTCCCTTGAGTATAGGTATTTCTCCAGATTCTCTGAATCTTTTGATGAAATTATGTACTGTAGATGGTGGGATATCCAAAGTCTTCGCAATTTTATGTTGAGGAACATTTTTCTGAAATGGTTCCACAATTTTTAGACACAGTTTTTCACAGATTGGTGAACCTCTGCCCATCTTTGCTTCTGACAGACTCTGTCTCTCTAAAATGCTCTTTTTATATCCAGTCATGTGAGTTAGTTGAAAATTGCTCCTCCAGCTGTTTTTTATTAATATCACTTACTTCTCCAGCCTTTTGTTGCCCCTGTTCCAACTTTTTTGAGATGCGTTGCCGCCATGATTTTCTAAAAGAGTTAATATTTTTCATGAAATGGTCAAATGTCTCGCTTTCAACATCTGATACGTGTTCTATGTTCTATTGTAAATAAAATGTGGGTCTATGAGATTTGAAAATCATTGTATTCTGTTTTTATTTACATTTATTTACATTTTACACAACGTCCCAACTTTTTTGGAATTGGGGTTGTAAGTACATCCACTTTTATACTGGATGGCCTTGTGCATCAATTATTAGTACTGTTATATTTTATTTGTATTCTTATTATTGGTATTATAGCTGATATTGATAATAGGTTTGGTTAGTTAACTGCAAATCAGGCCATTTTTAGGTTGATAGTAAACTGTTACGCTCAAATTTACACGCCTGCCTATCAGACGTGAGTTTGAGCGCTTATGTTACGGTGAAATTTGACCGTACACAAATTTGAATAAGGGCCAAAGTGTAAGGCGCCCAAACTTTTGTATACGACTGTAAGTGCACGTAAGGGTGTGTGAGTTTAACGCTCACCCCGATCTGAGTGCAGTGATGATGCACTCGGAGCAGAAGCGGTGGAGGCACTCTTTGGTGGTCATGGTGTTCTTCAGCATGTCCAGGCAGATGGGACACATCAGCTCACTGTGGAGGCTCCTGGGAGACACAGCGATCTCTGTGCTGTCCACGATCGCCTCCTGCAGACCCAGAGAACAACACCACCAACTCATATTTAATTCATATACGTCCCAAATGATCCAAGTTCTTCTAATTAAAGAATTTATTACATTAATACATTTTTACATTATATTTCTACATTCTTATTAAGGACCTGTGCCAAAAAATGTTCTGTTCTATCTTAAATTGAGCAGCAGTTACATTCTAGCGCTTAAATGTGGGTCTACTAAGTGTCTGTTTAGTACTCACAACTTGTATAATCCTCACAGAAAAGCACTGACAAGCAGAATGTAAGCCTAAGGTCACCGTGTCCAATGCTAAGCATGGGCTAGAGGGGTTTAAAGCCCCCCAGCATCGGGCTGTGGAGCAGTGGAACTGTGTTCTCTGGAGTGATGGAGCTCCAAATACCTTTGGGATGAACTGGAGTGATCCAGAACTGACCATCCAACATCAATACTTGACCTCACTAAGGCTCAATCAAATCCTCACAGCAATGTTCAACATCTAATGTAAAGCCTTCTGAGAACAGTAGAGGCTGTTACTGCAGCACAAACTCACTATTAATACCTATTAAAATATTGTTGCCACAGATTGTTACCTTACGGTGGAAAATGTGCTTTTTATTCTTTTGTAGAATTCTTTTTTATTTCATATTGTGCGAGCATTACCAAATATTTCTCGTTAAATAATTTACACTATATCTGGTTCCTATCACCACCACTGTGAACAATTCTGACTCTGCAAGTTTCTCTAGAACAGAGCATTTTACACCAAGCCACTCTGAATGACCCTGTTTACATCTTAACTCTTTGATTATGTCAGATTTTTTGAAAATTTGGTGGAATTCCCATCTCTGGGGCAGGACAAGGCAAACTGAGCTGAGACTTAAGGGGCATTTTGAGGCTTTATTAATTATATAGTCGTTGTTGCACTTTAACCTCATGCCTCCATTTTGTCATTTTTGACTCATTTGAACTCTAATCAAATTTAATGATCAATGGATCAGTAGATATGGTTCAGAATTATTAGGCACAAAAATTGTGTTACCTTTTCAGAGATATGAGGTTTTGTTGCGACACTGCTAATATACTGAAATTGTGAAGTTGCTATGATGTGTCTAAGTGGGGTTTATATGTGTAAGAGGAACTTATATGTGTATAAGAAGAGTTTGCATTTTGCTGTTGTCAGAAGAAAACCTCCAAAATGGTAACTTTACAGGAGAAGGAAAAGAAACTACTTTACTCTTAATGCAAGTCAATGGAATTTATATGTGTACGAGGGGGTTTGGATGTGCATAAGAGGGTTTATATCTGTATGGGGGTTGTGAGTACATGGGGAGCTGTGGTACCTGTGGTGTTCGGTGCAGCTCATACAGACTCAGTTCCCACGATTTACTGGGCATCTGTACACTGAGTGGATTCGCCATCACAGCCTGAAACAACACAGAGCAGAGTCTGTTTAGAGTCTCTTACGGTTTCTGTCACTATCAGGCTTAATGACACCAACAACACCGTCAATAAATCAGTCAGCCAGGCTGAATGACACCAACACCACCGTCAATAAATCAATCAGCCAGGCTTAATGACACCAACAACACCGTCAATAAATCAATCAGCCAGGCTTAATGACACCAACCACACCGTCAATAAATCAATCAGCCAGGCTTAATGACACCAACAACACCGTCAATAAATCAATCAGCCAGGCTTAATGACACCAACAACACCGTCAATAAATCAATCAGCCAGGCTTAATGACACCAACAATACCGTCAATGAATCAATCAGCCAGGCTTAATGACACCAACCACACCGTCAATAAATCAATCAGCCAGGCTTAATGACACCAACAACACCGTCAATGAATCAATCAGCCAGGCTTAATGACACCAACCACACCGTCAATAAATCAATCAGCCAGGCTTAATGACACCAACCACACCGTCAATAAATCAATCAGCCAGGCTTAATGACACCAACCACACCGTCAATAAATCAATCAGCCAGGCTTAATGACACCAACAACACCGTCATGAATCAATCAGCCAGGCTTAATGACACCAACCACACCGTCAATGAATCAATCAGCCAGGCTTAATGACACCAACCACACCGTCAATAAATCAATCAGCCAGGCTTATGACACCAACAACACCGTCAATAAATCAATCAGCCAGGCTTAATGACACCAACACACCGTCAATGAATCAATCAGCCAGGCTTAATGACACCAACCACACCGTCAATAAATCAATCAGCCAGGCTGAATGACACCAACAACACCGTCAATGAATCAATCAGCCAGGCTTAATGACACCAACCACACCGTCAATAAATCAATCAGCCAGGCTTAATGACACCAACAACACCGTCAATGAATCAATCAGCCAGGCTTAATGACACCAACCACACCGTCAATAAATCAATCAGCCAGGCTTAATGACACCAACAACACCATCAATAAATCAATCAGCCAGGCTTAATGACACCAACAACACCGTCAATAAATCAATCAGCCAGGCTTAATGACACCAACAACACCGTCAATAAATCAATCAGCCAGGCTTAATGACACCAACCACACCGTCAATAAATCAATCAGCCAGGCTTAATGACACCAACCACACCGTCAATAAATCAATCAGCCAGGCTGAATGACACCAACAACACCGTCAATGAATCAATCAGCCAGGCTTAATGACACCAACCACACCGTCAATAAATCAATCAGCCAGGCTGAATGACACCACAACACCGTCAATGAATCAATCAGCCAGGCTTATGACACCAACCACACCGTCATAAATCAATCAGCCAGGCTGAATGACACCAACAACACCGTCAATAAATCAATCAGCCAGGCTTAATGACACCAACCACACCGTCAATAAATCAATCAGCCAGGCTGACTGACACCAACAACACCGTCAATAAATCAATCAGCCAGGCTGACTGACACCAACAACACCGTCAATGAATCAGTCAGCCAGGCTTAATGACACCAACAACACCGTCAATAAATCAGTCAGCCAGGCTTAATGACACCAACAACACCTTGAACAATAAAGACAATCAGACACAGTAACAGCAACACTAGAACAGCAGTAGAACAGCAGGTCAGGTCCAGTTCTAGTCCAGTTCTGCTGCTGGTGTCTCTGCTGTCTGACTGCTCGGCAGTGTTGTGTTGTTGTGGTCTGATTACAGTCTGATTCCGTGTGTAACTCTGCTGGTTACCGTGTTTCCAGGTGTTGGAGGTGTTAAAGTTCTCAGTTCAGCTCTGATGCTGTTTGAGGTCTCTGAGATCCTCTTCTTCTTCTCCTTCTTCTTCTTGTTCTTCCTCTGCGAAACGCAGCAGCTTCACTGCACCTTCCTCTCCTCACGGAGCTTCATCTCCAGCCTCCTGCAGCGCCGCTGGCTCCGCGTTTCCGGTGAATTTTAATCCAGAACATTAAATCGATCAAATCTGATTATTGTTGATATTTTTGTTGCAACTTGCCCCGTTTCTCCGGATGTTACCTCCTCCAGACCTCCACACACTTCCTGTAACGCTCGGTTGGGTTCTGCACATTAGCGGCTGCTGGCGGCCAGCGGCGGTACTGCAGGCAGCGCTGTTGAGCAATCACTATAATATCTAATAAATCAAACAAATTTATAGGTAATTTCAGATAAATAGCTTAGAGCACGCAGTGTTAATTATACAGTTCAGGAGAAATAATGTAATTTATCACTTTGTACAGAAATAATGATGATGGTATTCATTTGTTTATGTCTTTTCCTTTTGTGTGGTTCTGTCACTGACCATCACTGCTGTCGTCGTCGGTGTTGCTACTTTGATGTCCAGCGATGATTGTTGACTCCGTATTGTGTTTGTTGTGGGAAGCTCTATGGGCATGTCCTGGGCTCTTTGAACACAGTTCTCATGTGGTTGTTGTTGTTTACTTGTTAATAAAATATTGATCACAAAAAAAAAGAAATAATGATGATAATCTTTTACTAAATAGATCCTTTGATGCAAAGAAGAAGCTACAGAAATTAAAATAATGAGAATACAAAAAATTATAGTTTAAAAAAGGTAAATACAACATATGAATAAATGAGTACATTGATTATAAATGACAAAAAAATAAGAATAAAAATGAAAGATCATAAACATTTAAACAGAAGAATGAAAAAGATGACTTTATCAACAACTAGAACAAATAAATAAGCTTAGTTTTAAATATGCTGTATGTTGAGGTGGTTGTGTATCTGTATATGTCTGTATTTCTGTTTTTAATTAAATGATACATTTCTCTGACTGCAGTCAGAGGGGGCCGAGATGGATTGTTTGTGGTGGGCCGAGAGCCATAAATGAAGATGACTGGTGTTATATATTTGTATGAGGAAAATAGGAATTTAATAAGTGTAATAAGCGGGTTGGATTAGGAACACTTTGGTGGGCTTCATGAGCCAATTTTGGGCTGATAAATGTCTTTAAGAAAACAGAAAAACATACAAACCTTTGACTGGTAGAGTATTTAGATGCATAAACCGACTAAAGTTCAGAGACGTCCAGCTTTTACAGTGTTTTTAATACAAATCACTGCGTTATTCTTTGATGGTTTGCAATAATGTAAGATATAAGCATCATTTTACTGAATGGGTTTAGAATCAGAGTTGAAAAGACATTCATACTTTACTCAATCAATCAATCAATCAATCAATCAATCAGCCAATCAATCAATCAGCTTTTATTTGAACTCAGAGTACATTACAGGTGACCCTTATTTACAGTGTAGTCAAGCATTATACAGAAAAACAAGGGATTGAGAAGAATCAACACGTTACGTATTTATGACAGTAAAGGTACAGCAAAGAAAATAAATAAAACCAAAATATATGTTATTAAAACTCACACAACAAATACAAATTATAAGATAAATAAGATTAATTAAATACTTTGCCTTTCTAACCAGCAGTTCTACCTCAGAGTTTTCTTGGTTTTCTTGGTAGGTTATCTTGTTTTGACTTCCACACTTCCACAGTTCCCCTTAACTGCCATTTGATCAGATGTTCAGCCAGCTGCTTAGAGGAGCCTATGATTGTTGAGTTTTAGTGGTCTGAAAATGTTATATGTATGTGTGTGTGTGTACATATATATATACACTCACATACGCACCGATCAGGCATAACATTATGACCACCTCCTTGTTTCTATGCTCACTGTCCATTTTATCAGTTCCACTTACTATATAAGAGCACTTTGTAGTTCTACAGTTACAGACTGTAGTCCATCTGTTTCTCTGATACTTTGTTAGCCCCCTTTTACCCTGTTCTTCAGTGGTCAGGACCCCCATGGGACAAAACCTCTTATGTCCAAAATGGTAACTTTACAGGAGAAGGAAAAAACATACTTTATTTTAATGTAAGTAAATGGAACCAGAATTTTGAGCCGTTTCTTTTGGTCCATTCATCATTAAATTTACACTCAATGTAAAGAACAACAGGCATTTTCAAATTACGCTAAAAACTTAAAAATGACAAAAATGGAGATATGAGGTTTTGTTCCGACAGCAGTGATATTTTTATGACAATAAAAGTGTAGCAAAAAAAGTAAATAAGGTTTAAAAAAATGTGTTATTAAAACAATATAAAAGAGAAATAAAAATTTGGAAACGCTAAGAATAATAAGATTAAATAAATACTAAACAAAGAAATACAAACAAATAAAACTGATGGGCACATACGATATAAAATGATAGCCAATAATAGCAACGATAAAATAGTAAAATGATAATAAACCATGGCAATAAAAATGATAAATGATCTACAATGTAACATATCATTGAGTTGGACTTTAGACTGAGTCATTCAGCTTTGAGTGATGTTGTATCTTCACTGTGTTTACTTTACTCTGTAGAATCGTCCATAAATGAGGAACTTTAGCACACAGAAAAAAACACAGTAACACCTTACTGAAGAGCAGCATTCATACAGCTACATAAACATGCTTAATCGTTCACTCCAGCATGATTTAATGCAGTCATGAAGGCTGTTGTAGGTGCTCCTCAGTAAAGTCTGACTGTAAAGATCAGACCAATTCACAGAGGAGAGGAGAGCAGAAATGACTGGAGACTCAATGAACGTCTTTATTAATACCTTTATTATTAACTTATTATTATTAACTTTATTGATCTGATATATTTAATACAGAGAGAGCAGATCAGCAGAGCTCTGAGTCTCTCAGCCTTTCAGACTCGCAGATGGTCTTCAATCTCTTCTGTAAATATACCAGAGAGAGAGAGAAAGAGAGAGCGAGAACAGAGAGAGAGAGAGAACAGAGAGAGAGAGAGAGAGCGAGGGGGATTAGCCCCCCGTGTGTGTGTGTGTGTGTGTTGAGCAGTGATTAGTGTGGTCAGTGAACCTGTTTAACATTCAGCTCAACTATTAGCATATTAATACTCTCTCTGTCTCTCTCTCTCTCTCTCTCTCTCTCTCTCTCTCTCTCTCTCTCTCTTTTTCTCTCTGCTTCTTCTTTTTTAGTTTCTCTTTTCTGTCTTCCTCTTTTCGATTTCTCTCCTCTCTCTGTCTCTATCTATATTTTTCTCGCTGTCTTCCATCATTTTTTCTTGTGTTCTCTCTCTCTTTTCTCTTTTCTTCGTTTGGCTCAGCTGTGATTTCCTTCTCCCCAAAACAAACATGTTCTAATTCAGATACTCTTTTATTCTCCGCTCACTCCTCTTTGGCTTCTCCTCTCTCTCTCTCTCTCTCTCTCTCTCTGTCTCTCTCTCTCTCTCTTCTCTCTCTCTCTCTCTCACTCCCCTTTCTCCTCTC